TTGCATTGTTTGTGCCTAAGATAACTTCTGCTGCTTTCTAGTGAATTGCTTTAATGTGGAATGCAGCTTGAGAGTGATGCTATTAAATGTTGTTAGCCAAGTAACTGCAGTGTTCTTAAGCGTGTGAGAGCCCCACAGCATTACCTCCTGCCCCTTTCTCCTCTGTGTTGCTGAAGCATTGCTGTCTGTAATATGGTTCAGTCTTTGTCTGTATGATGTTTCTGTGTGCAAATTCATGTTTGAAATCTAATTCCTTTACTGTATGTTTATGCTGACATTCAGGGCTTTGCATGCTTTCCTGACTCAGTAATTTAAAAAGTGGCATTTCTCTAAAGCTATTAAGGTAGTAATCCTTAAACTGTCAAATGGTTTAATATTTTCATTACCTTCTGTTAAATCTGGTATTTGAAACGTAAACTTTTCAAGATCTCCAAATGAGGAGAATTTAAACCATTTGTTTCCAGAATATATTGATTTCCATATATAAAATAAGGTCGATTTTTGAATAGGTTCTACAAGGAGATCAGTTACTGAGAGTGTTAATTACATCAGGAAGAACCTATAAGTGAAATCCGAGACCCTGACAGCTCATTGAATGCAAACTCTCCAGTAATGAATGTAAGCTTTTATAGTGACAGTATTGATCTTTGTCACTGGTAGTTTTCTCTCACACCTCACATAGGATGCTTTTGTTTTCATGATTCCTAACTCCAAAATGAAATTGACTTTGTCTTTCTGTGTTAGTCCTTACCCCATTAATTTAAAATAGTCATGCAGGCAATTTCTTGGACACGCTGATGTGTGAGGATGTGTTCCCCTTACAAAGCTTTGGCTGCAGCTGAGAATAAAGAAGTGAGAACATCCCCCTGAAGAGCACACATCAGCGGCATAAAGGTTATTAGTGTCCCCTCTTTTTTTTCTTTTAATTCCATGGGAGATTTCAGAAATTGCAGTACTATTCCCACTACAAATGGCAATAAAAAAAATCCCAACAAGTGCTCTATGAATGTGGCAGTTGAAACATACAGAATCGTTTACTCAGATGGTCTTTTAAGTTCCCTGAAACCCCCTAGGCCCTCAATCACATCTTCTGCCAGACACCAGTGCTGCAGCTCTGTCACGCAAGGAAAGAGCTAGCTCAGTCACTGCTCAGGGCTGCTTTCATAGGAATGTCATGATGACGACTGGCTCAATTGTTCTTGTCCTTTTGCAATGCACACGATTTTGTGGCAGTAGGTTACATTTCCAGACGGGCAATGCTTCAGCAATTACACGGAATCAGTTCATTCTCACACGACGAGCGTCACTGTACTGCTCACACATGGATGAACAAAGGTAAGACCCAAAAACGCTGGCTTCATTTTTATCCTAGTATGTCGGTTGAAGTGTCCTTCTGTCTTTCTGTCTGTGAGGTGGGTAGCAAATTGGAGGTTTTGCAGTTGTTAAATTAGGAGCCTTCTACTTGTACGCTGTTGCTCCTAGCTGGAATTTAACGATCAATCCAGTGTTACAAAGGAGATTGGTTCCTGAGCGTCCATCCACATCTCAGTAATCCACACTGTGCATACAACAGGGTTGAATGAAGCCATTTTGAGGCAAGCGGGACTACTTTTGTAGTAGTATTTCTGTGTTATGGTCCTAACCCACACTATGCAGCTGTTTGAAATTTCCTCACTGCAGATAATGATGCTTTCACTCAGAGCTGCTTAGGCTACAGTCCACCAACCTGGATAGCAGCATCTCCCTAATGACAGTCATCGCTTGGCTCTCAGGGAACACTTGGATAATCCTCTCAGTTCCTCTGCTTCCAGCTGCAGGAAGAGAGCTCTTTGGAAAGAAAAGAAAAAGTCAGTAAATCCAGATCTACAAAGGGCAGAGGAGGAAAAATGGCACGCTACCGTAAAAGAGAGACAGCTGAGTGGTAACAGAGGGATTGCTGGAGTTGGATAAATGCGTCTCAAAGAAAAGAAAACACTGACTCCCTCAGAGCAGGAGGCAATTAAGAGGCAGAAGCACATTTATAACAAACTGTAATGTAGCAGAGTATTCTGGAAAGAATAATGGGGGAAAGAGTACTGTGGAGCAGAAAATTATTTGCCTTTCACATGGCTGTCTTCTCACTGAAACAGGGAGACCAAATAAACTTTGACCCAGGTTAAAGGGAGTACCTGGAGTGCTATGGGTGCTGGTTGACAGCCATGCAGAGAGATGTAGCTGTCACTGTTACTACACCTGTATTGCCATGGAACAGAAGGAAAATATATGAGAAAACCCATAACAGTGTTGCATCTGAAACTCATAATCTGTGTTACAGATTACTGCTGAATGGCAGTGTTGGTACTTAAGAACTTTTAGCAGATGGGACATCATTTTAAATGTAGAAATTAAGCTAGGCACGTTTTTGGTTTCCCAACAAACATGTCTTTATGTTTCTCTAGGATATAATGGAGTGGTTTTGAAGTAGAGAATTTGATTTATAATCTCTTTGAGAAGGGAAGTGTCAGAGGAACTTTACTGAACTAAGTTTTATTCCAAAATCTAAAAGAGGAGAGATTTCTGCCTTCTTTTAGATCTAGTTATTAAAGTCCCATAGTGATTACAGCCTTCCATGGGTTTTGTTTTGCTGTTCAGATATGTTTAATGACATCAGACTTTGACAAGTGCCATGCTGATCTTTTGTGTTTCATTTTGAGTAGTGTGTTTAATAGAAACTTGCACAGTATGTTCCCAAAAGTGTCCCAAAGACTATATCTGTTAATGTCAGTTCTGCTAAGATGTCTTAGTTAACTGTACTGTACAGGAGAGAGGAACATTTCTTGTTAATTTAGAGAGGGAGATAGCTTGATGACATATGCAAATGGCACATCATATATTTTAAGGTCCATGTATCTAGCCTTTGCTAACTAAGCAGATACATTTTTGTCCTTCCTTTCAGTATATTTCTTAGTTTGAGCACCACCATATTTGAATGCTACAGCTTTTAAAGAGAAAATTAATTATGTAACAACATATTTTTAAAACAAGGTATCCTTTGAATTTTATGTGTTAATATATACATATATATATGTGTGTATGTGTGAAGCCCTGAGGATTTGTGAAATTACTCCTCTGCCCTTCTTTGCTCATCAGCTGCTGTCCTTAAGAAGGAGCTGGGCCAACCAGTCCACTGCAGAAGTACAAAGTGCTTGGGGTAATGGGAGACACTGATTCTCAAGGTATTAGAAGCTTTCCACATGAATAAAAATTCCAGGTTTCTGCAGATATATTTAGCAGCACTGAGCTAGAACTAGAATCACTTTATGCCTACATAAAGAAGGTGAAATAGGGTGAGGAGAAGGCAGTGCTTGGAAATTCAAATAGACCCAAGTTTCTCTTTCGTCAGAGTGGGCCTGAAGTGCCAGGGAATGCTCTCCTCCGAAGCTCCTTTTTAAAAGGCAGGCAAATGCCTCCTTGGCAGCTGTGCCAAGTAGGTCTGAGCAAGCAGCATGTTAATCTGCCCCCAGCCCTGTGTGCCAACACAGGCACGTAAGGTAGCACATACAGCAATGCCTGCTGTTGCTCCAGTAATGCTTTACTGTGGTTCTCTCCGGTATTTCCCAGGTAGCTGCTGTGAAGAGGATAATTTCCACAGTTCACATGCAGTGATCTGGGTAGGGCATCTAATGCAGCATGTGGTCTGAGGAAGATCCACTGCCAAATGGCTGCTTCTGGTGGAGGGCAAGAAACAAGATGAAGCTTAGCCCAGTTTTAAACTGGAGTGCTTGAGAAAGCCCTTTTCTGATTTTATTCTTAACCAAGGTAGACAGCATTCCTCTTCTTTATTTCTGCAGGCTCTAAAGAGACAGCTATCTGTGCTGAGATATGAGAATTTTGTGCCAAACAAATCTACTTCATCATGATAGGTTCAGAAGTGAGCCTTTTATTTCAGGTCTGATTCCTTCAAATATTCTCCCTCTCCATAACCTCCTATTCCTCTGATGTTTGTGTTGCAGAAGAGGATGTGAGGTTTCCGGTGATCAAGACCTGACTTTTTGACTCCATGTTGGCAGACAGCAGCTCTGACACAAATTGCTTTGCAAAGACTATGCTGGTGGCCAGCGCAGCTCTCTTCTTCCCTCTGGCTCCCTTAGTCTCCAGGAACCTTTAAGTCTCACTGTGTTCATAGCCTCCAACATGTTGCAGCTGATACACATGGCTACCACCAGCAGATCCCTTGCACAGTTTTGGCCTTCCTACTTGGCGCAAGGCAAAGCAAAGCAAGGATCCCTCAGCCCTACAGCAGTTAGACCATGTTCCCTTTGAGGAGCTCAGGGTCTCCATCAGCGTGGCTCTGTCTCCACCTTGCTCTCAACTGTTGTCTGCTAAAGTTTAGGCAGAAAGATGAACCCATTGGTGCCAGCTCATCATGCAGTTATCGTCGAGGGCACAGAGCAGGTTTCCCATCTCAGTGCCTGAGAAGCCTGAGGTGTGCCCTGAGACATCTTGGCTGCCGGGATAGTTTAGTGATGTGTGTCTTTTCCTCAGACAGCTTGGCAATAAACAGCAGCTGTGAACTTAGTGCTCTTGCTTCCTACTTGTGGGAAAAGGAGCGGAGCAAAGACCGTGTGTTCTGAAGTTGGAAATGGCTTCTCCCTTTGTGTCCTACAGCGATGAGATACATGGATTAATATTAAATGCATTGGTAGCAGATGGGTCTAAAATTATTTCATGCTATTTAGAACAAGTCCTTTGAGCTAAGGCTGTTGTAAACTCTAATTAGTCTATGCTAATCTTCATAATAAGCAGCTATTTCTAATGCAGATCTAACTGATGAGGTCTGACAGCATTTTCCACGCTTATACTCTGGCAGGAAGCTGGTACGGTGGTAGTATCACAGTGTTCTCCTAGGTTGTGAAAATGCCGTGTTTTCAGTGCCCTGCAGGGAGTTTGTATTTGCTGCAAGCCTCTACCTGTTCTCAGGGTACCAGCTTATGCCTGTTCAATTGTATTTATTTATACAGAAAACCGAGAAAACTCCTTCAGCCGTTCCCGAAGCTCCAGCGTGTCGAGTATCGACAGGGACTCCAAGGAGGCAATCACAGCCTTGTACTTCATGGAGTCCTTTGCCCGAAAGAACGACTCTGCTGTCTCCCCATGCCTCTGGGTCGGAACAGGCCTTGGTATGGTCTTAATCCTCTCTCTTAACCTGCCTGCCAGTGACGACTTACGGCAGTCAGAGCCGGTCATGGTGTCACCAAGTGGTAAGAGTGCAGCCTTCTTCGTGTTTATTATCCATCGTGGGGCAATGGGGGAAAAGCTGTATGATTTTATGAGGCCTTTTTGCCAGAAAATTCTCAAGAAATGTATTAAGTAGTAGTCATTCACTACATAGATATTAGAAAGAAATTCTTTACTGTGAGGGTGGTGAGACAGGTTGCCCAGTGAGGCTGTGGATGCCCCTTCCTGGAAGCATTCAAGGCCAGGCTGGACAGGGTTTTGAGCAACCTGGTCTAGAGAGAGGTGTCCCTGCCGATAGCAGGGGGTTGGAACTAGGTGATCTTAAAGATCCCTTCCAACCCAAACCATTCTATGATTCTATGATTAAGGGCACACGGGTAAAAAGAGACGCATGTGAGAAACCCACAGCTTCACGAACTGAGGCACTTTAGTTGTGTTAATCTTGAAGTTTGCCCTACACCTTGAGCAGAGTCACATTTATTTCTTGTGAGGACGGGGAAACTAGCAGAGATCCTTCTTATTGGGAAACTGCAGTCCTGTGTGCTGCTCTGATGCTATCCTATCTGGGATTCTGTGAACAGTTTGGCTGTCTTTCTTGTCAGAAGGCTGCAGAGAAGCAGAAGGGAGCTCAGGAAAGGAAACACAAATGTTGGCAGGTTGATGTACCAGGAGAGATTTTTGGCTGAGTGAGTGACAGATGGCAGAGCAGAGAGGACAGAGGGATGAGAGAGGTCAGGGCTAAGAGGCAGGATGTGCTTATTGTGTTGTGAGTAAAATAATGCCAGAAAACAGGGCGACACAGGAATAGTGGTAAGCCCCCCCACTCTTTTTTGTTTAGAAAAACAACACTGGATGGACACCAGACTAAGGGTAGCAATTTTACTGGTCAGGGAATAAATAATCCTACTGGTAGAGATAAATTTAAAAGAAAACAAAAAAGAAGAGGGGGGGAAAGGGGGGAGGAAAAGCAGTCTATCCTTATGGCATTCAGCAGCACGTGCACGTGCTATATAGGTTATTTGACATGGGCTGCCTGAGACCTTTCAGTAGTGACAGCCTACGTGTTCACTTTCCTGTATGGAAGAACTGAGTAAGACTTGTCACCCTGGCTAGATAAATGCATTTTCTGTATTTACAAAAGCAAAAGTCGGGTGTCACCTGTGCTGTGGATCCACTGTGCTGACAACCAGTTAAATTGTGGTGCCAGTGCCAGTGAGAGAAGATTGTATTTTGCAGGCACAGTTCTGACACTGAAAGGAGCCGTGCTGACCTTCGCCTGCTTGGACTGCACGGGGACATTGATACATCCACCTTATGAAGTATGGAGGGACCCACACAGTGCTGATGATGGGGAAAAAACAAGGAAAAGGAAACTTGTCATGCATTCCCCTTCCTCCTCCCAGGATATGGGTGATCATCAATTTGCAGTCATTTGTTCAGAAAAACAAGCCAAAGTCTTCTCATTGCCTTCCCAAACATGTCTTTATGTCCACAACATCACCGAAACGTCCTTTTTATTACAAGCAGATGTGGTCACCCTCTGTAACAGCGTCTGTCTGGCGTGCTTTTGTGCCAATGGGCACATCATGACACTGAGGTACTTATCTAACTAATCTCATGGCAAAACTAAGCAAAGAGGTGGCACAGTGCCATCGCGTTCCGCTTGCATTTGCTGCGCTGTGCTTACATGGTTGATGCTCTGCGTTAGCTCCTTGATGGATGCATTTAGTGCACGTTTTATATACACGTGTTTGCTCTTCTGGGAGCATTGCCTTGCCCACAGCCATACCTGTTCCTTGGCTTGCCTCCGCGTGGGGAGTGAAGGCAGTGGAACAGCAAAACAAGCTCCTCCATTTCATAGCAGCTTCGCCATGATGACAGCTGATGGTTGATATCTTATAACTGGCGTAAAACTTATAATTTTTACTCTGTTACTGTCAATCGGGTATAGAGCATAAGGAATAACTCAGGCATAGAAATGGTACTTTTTATCCAGCGTGAAGGGTCCGGTCCCATTTCAGATTTTTGCACTCAGGGCACCTAGTTTCTCTTCCTTGCCGTTGCCCCTTTGAGCTGGCTGCACAGCATCACTGCAGTTACGCCTCTGCATCCCCACATCACCCCTTCCCTGGTCACGCCATTGAAATCTGGCCAAGTGCCATCCTGCTGTACAGCCAGTGAGCTGAAGAAGCTGGAGGACAGCAGAGGGGTTGCTGGAGCCTTTGCTCACAGTGTGCAAGCAGGACGCTGCCATGTGCCCAGCACACCTGCACGCTGCCCAGCCACGTGGCACAAGCCATGTGTTGCAGGTATGTCCCACATGGAAAGAGCTGCGCATTGAGACAGGGCAGCTGAAACTCCTCCCTGCAGAGAAGCAAAGTAGAAAGGAAGGCACCATATGGATGGCAGATTTTTTCAGCTTAGAGCTGTGACTAACTCAAGTCTCTGCTTCACTTCAGCTTGCCCAGCCTTCGCCCACTGCTGGACATCAACTATCTGCCTGTAACGGATATGAGGATAGCACGGACCTTTTGTTTCAGTAACGAAGGGCAGGCTTTGTACCTCAGCTCTCCCACTGAGATCCAGCGCCTCACGTACAGCCAGGAGATGTGTGACAACCTTCAGGTAGGAATCGCATCCTTACTTCACGCTGTCTTTGTGTGGGAGGGCTGGAGGCCCGAGCAGCGAGCCGTGCAGGTGTGAATTGCCACCTTTGCTGCTAGATTTCTCAAAGTAGCGTTTTACCAGGCTATGATTTCTAGTCAAAAGTAAGAGATGATAATTTGTTGTTCAGTGGAAAGCCTGCGTGTCGGTGGAAAAAAAGAGTATTTTAGTTAATTTCTAGCATTTTAAGTGACCTCGAGGACGTGTTCCTTCGTATTTGCCATTCTGTCAAAGCACAGCAGAGAGAGGTCAGCTGCTCTGTTGCTCTTTGGTCCTTTTTGTGCTGCTGTCACCGTGCTCCTGTTCCCAATGATTGGCCCACGTCTGCAGCCTGCCCTCACTTAATTACAGTCTCTGCTGGCTCTGTATGGAGCCAGATTTACACCCAAGTGGGACTCTTCACAGCCTGCTTCTATCAAAGCCTGCCCATATGAGAGACCAACTGTTAAAAGTGACTGAAGGGAAAGAAGGGGAAGTTACACATTCAGAGCAGCCATAGCAGTAGGTACCAGCATGTGTCCAACGCATAGAAACTGCCTCCATGAAAATATGCATTCCTTGCCATCATTTATTTTTCAGATTTTAACTCTAAAAACGTCTTAATACTTACAGCTTCCAGTACTTGAGTGGGAACATGAGACAAACAGGTGCTGATAGTATCAAAAAATGCTCTCTGTTTTAATGTATTTTTAATTATTTACCATAATTTTCACTCCAGCATCTCCCACTGTACATTAAAATGCAGTAGCTACAGAAGTGGTCTAATTAAAATAATTTATTTTGAGCAAAGCTCTTTACAGTGTTAGGTTTGCCTTTTTATAATGAAAATGCAAATTAAAATGTCATTTACTGAAGAGGAGGAATTGTGAGAGGTTACGAGGAGAAACATGAGGAATAAAATAAAAAGAAGGTGAACAAGTTCTAAGTTACATAATTAGCACTGAGCTAGGATAGAAATACTGAAGAAATAGTCTTGCCAGCACTTATTGTCCCCTAGGGAATAACGTGTGCTGAGCTGCTTGAATCACATCACAGCAGCATGTGTCTCAGGTCTGAAGGAGTGCTGGGAGGAGTGAGCATTGCATACAAGCTCTTGCACATTGGAAAATAGATCATTTTACAGGGAACTAATTTTAAAATTATCAAAAGGTTTGCTTGGTGCATCTGGGAAAGTGGACTTATAGGCTGTTATAAGCTAGATTGTTAGTAGCCTTAACAGCATCATGCAACAACAAAATGGAAACAGCCCTTGCTTCTCTGTACTGCTGAACTACGGCTGCTTCTGCCTTGGCTTTTATCCATAAGAGGACATGAAGGGCTTGCACAGCCATTATCCCAGTACAAAAAAAAAGATGACCAGGTATCACCTGCTACCCAAGAAAACAAGGCAAGCTGCATGAGAGAGACCATTCAGGCTCAAAAGGCTGCAGTAATTTTTCTCCCTGGATCAGGTGACAGTGCAGGGGAGCAGTAAGTGTGAGTCACAGCTCTGTCACTGGCACTCAGCTTCCCAGGAGCCGAGCGTTTTGAGCAGCACAACAGCTGGATGTGCCTGCTGAGGCTCAGATGAGCAAACACAGAGCTGAGCAGCAGGGCAGCAACTGTTCTCATTGCACAGACTCACTGGTTTTAAACACTAATGGGACTGCATGCTTTCTGTATCAGTTTAGTTCTGGAGATCCAACTTTTCCTCGTACTGCTGCAGATAAAGCTGAACCTGAGATTTGTTCGGCCCTGATTCAATTCACCTGCTCTGAAATTTCAGTTTCCACAGCAGTGCTTTCAGTCACTGCCTGATGGCACTGCCAAAACGCACAGTAAGAATGAACTTGGAGAGGGGTGGGTTGTGGAAGGCAGTGGGTTTTTATTTAAAAAGAACAACTCTGAACTGCTAACAAGGACTGAGCTCAGGTATGATGTAAAGGGAGAACAGAGTGACTGTCCTGCTAGCCTGGATAATCACTAAAGCAAAATGCATAATTCATGACAAATTGTTTATTCAATTATAGTGTCACCACTGTTGTTTCTAAGCAAAATGTAATCTCACCACTGATATTTCCATGATTTATATTGCTTAAAATGTTTTCTCTATGAACACAAGACTGGGCAGGGAAAACCAAGTCCTTTTAAAAGCATTAGTGAATCTAGTCAGCCCCAGTATTCACCTATCATAAAACACAACTGTTAAGTACTGATTTTGTTCTTCATATGACAGACTTTTAAAATGACTTGACTACATCCAATGCATTTGGCTCCTTAAGCTCATGCAAATGAAACAACCCCCCCCACCCCAGACCTGCTTCCATCTCAGTAATTTTTCATGTGATTTTTGTCTGACTTTCTAGGACATGCTTGGGGATTTGTTTACTCCTGTGGAAACACCAGAAGCCCAAAACAGAGGCTTTCTTAAAGGGCTTTTTGGAGGAAGTGGACAAGCTTTCGACAGAGAGGAGCTTTGTAAGTGATTTTCTTCCCTAAATTAATACGTGTGATTGCCTGCCCTTGTCATCTAGGATACACAGAAGATTTATTTTAATGACAAAAAAAGAAAAAAAAAGGGAAAAAAAAAAAAGGACAGCATGAAGAAAGGGCAGACTTTTCAGTTGCCCTATCTGTGACCTATCTGTGATTCCTTCATGGCAGCAGCTTCCTTTGACCAATAGAAGGGCTGGGGCTATGGCTGCATTGCAGATGTGAGGGTACAGAGAGCAAAATCCTCCACATGTGCCATTGCAGTAAGGTGGCATCGAGGACCACAGCCTCTCACTCCCCTCTGTTTGTATTTCTCCTTTGCAGTTGGTGAGGCCACGGCAGGAAAAGCCTCTCGCAGTCTCGCCCAGCACATCCCTGGATCAGGTGGAATTGAAGGCGTGAGAGGAGCCGCAGGAGGAGTCATTGGGGACTTGACTCGTGCTCGTATTGCTCTGGATGAGAGAGGACAGAAACTGGGAGAGCTGGATGAAAGGACCGCGAGCATGATGGCCAGTGCAGAGGCATTTTCCAAACATGCACATGAGGTAAGAGTCTTTGCATCATGCACTCGGAACTAAAGATCACCAAACTTGCAGCTGAGCCTTTGCTTCCCTTCAGGAAAGTCAAGTGCTGTCAAGTCGAACTCAAGTCAAGTCCCCATTCACACAGTCATGTTGTTTGAGGTGTGCTCACATTAACTTGCATGCCATTTTTCCTTCCCCCGCCTCCACACAATGGAAAATCTCCAAAGAGACTTCCACTGCACAACTCTTTCTCTTACGTTTCCATAATTTAGAACAGGGTACGTCTCATCTCACACCTTTTTCACTAATCCATTCTGACTGGTCTTTGCTTTTTTTAAGCCACTCGATCCAGCAGATCTTTGCAGTAGGGCAGAATACAGGTAGGTGGTTGTGTACATAGCAGCATTTACAGATCTTACTAGGAAGATGAGGAGGAACCCTCTGGTACAGTGCTGTGATACAGTTGTAAAGAATAGGGCTGGCTGGGATAGACAACTTCTGTGCTCAGAGTCAGAAATAGAAAGCTCTTCCAGCCCTAAGCTGGGAATCAATTAATGTGATTTGTTTTTTTAGATTTATGATAAAACAAGGTTAAAGAATACTCCCCCAAGATGCATGTTTTTCAGTTAACTGTACAGCTGGTTCAATGTGCGTTACATCTCTGGGCAGGACCTTTATATTCTTATTAGCTTTCATGTGTGCGAGGCAAAAATACTCGGACGAAACTTGTCTGAAATGCAAGAAGAGTTTATTCAGGGCAAATCTACCATGCTCCATATATGAACTTCTGCAAAAACTGAAGTGGTAAAGTAGTTGAATCTCCTCAGGAGGAATCTTTTAATGAACAGAAGTAACAGGTAAGTCATTACATTTTAAAAAGCATTTAGCAAATAGGAAAATAAATAATTAAATAAATAAATAAAAACAAGATTTCAGTGAAATCAAGACCTAGTGACACTGTTGGCAAGAAGAAATAGCAGTGAAGTACTTCACTCCTTCTGAAGTTTGTGACGCCCTTTTTTTCCCCCATTTCTGTAGGTGATGCTGAAATACAAGGACAAAAAATGGTACCAGTTTTAAACTTTTAAAGAATCTGCTTGTGGCTTTGTTCAGAACACTGCTGAGGGAAGCAACGTTCATTCCCAAATCTATCAGTCATCGGCCAGAAACAATTTTTTGTCTCCTAGAAGAAGTTTTCCTCTTACTGTATTGGAATCATCGCAGTGGGCATCAAAGAAATTTTCCAGAACATGAGTTGGAAACTAGAGTCATGTGGGCCTTACGGCAGCAACTGGCTTATGCAGGAGCCAGTCTTTCTCAAAAGGAACTCAACCATCACTGTGGCATGTAGCTTTTCAGAAGCTGTAGGTATGAACTGTGGGGAGCGTGTCTGGTTAAAAATACTCTGTACAAACTCGAATGTTAATGCACTTAGAAAACTTTGCATGGTTAATTGACATCTTAAAAAAAAAAAAAAAAAAGAAAGCATGTTGTGACCGAAAAAAAAATGGGATTAATTTATATTGAGCAAAAAAAAAAATACTTAAATGGCAAAAATCTTTATTTTTTAAAAATGAGACTACAGAAAGCCAGTACATTTCAAGCATGTTTGCTACTGTTCTCAACATAAAAATGAGTTGAGCTGCATTTTCTTATCTGCTACTCATTTCCCTTGAAAAACCTTGCTTGAAATCAGTGCTGTTTAACTCCTTCCGGAAGAATAAATAATTTCAAAGCCTATGTCCAAAAATTTACAGATTTTTCAAGTAGCTAAACAGGCACTATCTGAAATGTCATTAAAACATGAGAGCAGATGATTTATTTTGCAATTCAGAGTACATGACATGTTGCCCTTATCTGTACTTTTAAAAATGTGCCCTAGATTTATCTCGGTTGTCCTTGAAGGCGTCTGTGGCATTTTTCATCCCTGTGGTTTCTCTGTCACTTGGTTGCCTTACTTCTCTGTTGCAGGAATAGAAAACAAACTTATGAGAATCTCTTCTTGAAGTTAGAGAGGGCAAAATGGGAAACCACTGGGAGAGTCCCATCAGTTTTCACTCACAAGCTGCTCCACAGCTTGCCAAACGATGAGTTTTTTCTTAAGTGGTCGGTTGAAGTTATGCTAAGGAAACTGCACAGTAACCCCATAAAGCTAGTGGAGAGAGCTCCCAGCAGCAAGACCTCAAGGTGGGCCAGGGGAAGAGCATGAAAAGCAATTGTTACGATATGCCACTGAATTGGCACGTACAGCAAATGACACCACAGGTGCGTGGCGGTTGATTCTCTGCTCACACCGCAAAAAGTAATTTGCTTCTGCTTCTGAGTGGCGTGTTTGGTTTCTGCAGTGGACTCTGCACAATGCTCTCCAGCCTGCAGAGGCAGAAAAGAACAGTAAGTAGAACCCATTACTTATTTATACGGATGGATTTGGGGTTTATAGATACAGTACAGTGCCACACAGATGAACTGTTCACTTAGAAATTGTTCCAAGGTTGCCTTGGAACCAAGGCTCTGAAGACTTCTTTTCATGTACCTGGACAGAGCTCCAAATTAGAAAAGGAAAGATAGGAAAAGGTAGAAAAGCAGCAGGTGGAAAATTTTAAAATTTTCTATATAGGAGAAATGGAAAATGTTCTTTCAGGGAGTCCTGACTGACACTGATGCAAGCAGACAGCATTGCCGTCATAACTAGAGCTTAACTTCACTGGATTTCTATCTTACCCATGTTCAGATTATCTGTCTCAAAGATGCCTTTCCTCTATCTTTTGCTTTCTTAAAATAAAACAGAAAATGGTACAGGCTGGAAATCTGGCTTCGCTATCAGCCCAGCTGCGCAAGTTAAAGGGATGGAACAGATCTGAGATGTTTTAAATTCATACTGAAGCAGAAGAGTTGTATGCTTTACAGCACTTTTATGTTTCTCTGGGGGCAAAATCAAAAGAAGAACCCTGACTGGTCTGGCTGCTCTGGGAAGGAGACCGGACGGGTTCTTCTCTATCACAGGAAGAACTGGACTGTAATTGTGAGAACAGTAGAAACTTGGTTGGAAAAGGGTCAAAGGCCAAGTGATGCCTGCGGTTCTGCTGAGAGTTAAGGAACTGAAATTGTGCATGACCCACAGGATGTCTGTACATTAAGTGTCTGAGGAAAGAGCAAACTCCCTGCTCTGATGCCAGTATAAACTGGGCTGGGGAGATCCTTCCAGTGGCCCCATCACGGAGCTGGCTGCTTCCATATGAGAAGTATCACTGTAACCAGGCAACTGGAGTGAGAAACAACAATACTACCACAGTCATTCTCTCTTCTGTTTCAATGCACATTCACTCTGCTTGTGCACTGTCACCCAAAAACTACTATTTAGTCTCTGGGCAAGAAAGCCTTTTTGTGCAGATTGTTCAGACCCCTCCAGCCAACCTTATAGGCTTAATTCTTTTTCCCTTCTCTGCTCTTACAGAGAAGTTGAGGAGTCTGCATCAGTATCAGAATACCAATCAGAGACTGTTCTGTACCCATCCCTACACTTACTCACTTATGCCCTAAGGTGGTGCAAATGAAAAGGCCTCTGCCAGTTCAAGTGTGGCACCTGTACATACATGTTTTCCACTGTACTTAGTAGTGGAATTTATTAAATATTTATTTACTAGTTAATAGTTTCCGCTATTAATTGGTGTAATTGGCCTTTAGGAAATGAGCCAGGTGAATGCTGGCACATCATGGCACACATGGCAACGAGCAGTGCTGTGTGAGCTGTCTGCACGCTGCACCTCATGTGGGTGCTCACAGTGCAAAGCTCCCCTCGGCTTTGATGTCAGCAGTCCCTCAGGCTGGAGCAGGACCCTCCTCCCTTGTTGGAGAACCTAGTGTAAAAATTGAATAATGACCTTTAACTGCTCATCACCACAGCATGCCCAGAGAAATAAAAAAAGTGTCTTCAGCAAATCATGTGTGCAATGTCAGACTTACTGGGGCCGACCACTCTCTGTCTTAACAGCAGGAAAAACCTGCCCGTAGACTTTCATCTGATGCAACAGAAGAATTAGAAATTAGCATCCCGTCAACTTACAGTTTTTAATAAAAACTTCCAAGCAGCTTTTCTCCAGTACTCCCCATTGGGTCACAGCTGTATCTCGCTTTCCACTCTTACGTATTTTCAGTATTTCCAGACAGTTACAGATCCCTATTTCTGTTACGTTTGCCACTCGTGACTATAATTATCAATTTTCTTGTAGGCTGTAGAGATCTAAAAAGTTGTATATGTTTGTATATAGAACATTCTATATATAAAATATATATATGTAATGTATATGTTGTATAAGTTTGGTAGTGCACACTGTTAAATGCTTTCTATTGAGATTTATCATGTATGTGAAAAAAACTTCACTTAAAAACGTCAATGAGGGAGGAAGAGCTCTTGCCTGGTTATTTATGCTGTCCCTGTGCATTGAAGTCACATGCTTTCACCTTTCCACTAAGAGCACCACCTCGACGCATCTCCAACGGTGTAATCCTCAGTTACAATAGACCAGAATGTCTGGAAATATTTGTTCCATGTAAAATGCTTTTGTTCATCTGAATGCCCTTCTCACTCCCAGTCTTCTTTACAGGAGTGCCCTCTCACAACCATGTCCCCAGTCCCAGTGCACCCAGCAGCAGCACCCATATGTCTGGGTTTGGCCAGTTGTGTTCACCTGTATTCATAGAGATGCATATAGACTGAATATGCAGAGAAAATGCATAAAATCTGATTATTTGTATGTATCAGAGTAGGCAAGTCTCTGGTGAAACACGGGCTATTTGTTTAAAAAAAAATAAATCCATTCAGTGGAGTGTTAATTTAAGCTTCAAATGCTGAGTGAAGACGAGCTGAAGGAAAAAGTGAGAATTGGGTTTTGCTTCGTATAATTACTGTTTTCTAAATGTTTTTTTTTTTTTTTCCTCTACAGTTCTCCATTCCACTGTCTACATCCATTAAACATCCCCTGTATTACCACTATAGCTTCCTACATGAACTCTACAGAAATTCTCTATTTGCTGCACATGTTGTATAAAATTACCACATATAGAAATCCTCTAAAAAAAAGTTTACAAAGCCCTTTTACAAAAGCCATTTTACAGTAGAATGTGTTTTAATGAAGTTATGCGTACAAAAATAAGTTTTTTTTCAGGATGCAGTTTAAAAAGTGAAGAAAATGCTGCAGCTTTGCTCAAAGCTGCGTTACACCTCAGGGCTCCTCCATTTATGAACTGGGTGCATTGCAACAGAAGCAAAAAGCCCAAGTTCATTTGGTTACACTCCTGGCATATCATTTTCCATAACCTAAAGGTGAATTCAAGCACAGAGTATTTCAGTATGGAATGGTTTTTTGCCTTGGCGTGGGCTCGGTGTGAACACTCTCTCTCTCATTAAGGAGCCACATGTGGCCATTTGGAGTCTGCGCTTCATCTCGCTGTGAGCGATAGGCAACGTAAATCTGTGTTTCCATTCATGTGTTCTGTTCTGTGATTAAATCAGCAGCTCAAACATATTGTACTTCTTTAGATAGCAACCAGTGCTCAGATTTGGTGTCATTTCGGTCTGTGTGGGTTTAACAGTCATCACTTCCATGGCAGAAGGAGGGCAGTGCTGGGGTGAGCCACACACGCTGAGTTAACCCCATCCTGTTCTCATGGGTATCCCAGGGCAGTTCCACAATAGGAAACTACAGCAGCTTTAACTAAAGCTAAGAGTTTGAGTTCCCGATTTAGGAGGAAAAAAAAGGGAAAGAAAATAAAGAATTGCTAACTAGTTGGTGTAGATCTCTTTTTTTTTTTTCAATGTGTACTCCTAGATTATTTGCAGTAGTTCAGAAGACGAGGGGCTTGTGTAGAACATTTGGATGGAGTTCACACTGCTCACTTAGGAACACAGAAAATCCTGTGGCGCCTGTTGCTGAGACTGGGATGCTCATATCCCTTCCTCTGACAGCAAAAATGGAGTCACAGCCTGAACCCAGGCAATGCTTTACAAGTTGCTCCTTATACCCATCCCTGGAAGTATTAGCCCCACTCAAGGCAAAAATATGTGAATAACACACACAGCCAACCTCTTCCTGGCTCACCTACGAGCTTCATAAATTAACAGGTTTCATTTTCAGCACCATTCCCGGCAGTGCCTCAACTTACCTAAGTCCTGTTTTGCCTCCCATGCTTGGGGAAATCAATGAGACTCATTGGTAGTTAAAGCCTAATCAGAATGAAGGGATGTAAATAGCAGCAATCAGGCAGCAGCTCAGAACCAGTTCTGCTATCATGACTCAAACACAGCAGCTGCCTCATAGAGCAGTGGCCACTTTTATCTTCCCACTTGCTCCAAATTACTGCTTAATTATAATGAAGTCATCAAGTTTGTTTATCAAAATAAGTTTAGTTCAGTGTCAGTCATTTCATTGATTAGCATCCCCGTCTGGGGGCCTTGCTGAGAACCACCTTCTGCACTCCTAAAGGCGGTCTGCAGGAGGGGAATGCTGCCATGTGCCAGAGAGTGGCTCAAATCACAGAGGCTGCACCGAGGCCTGAAATCCAGCACAGGTGCATCACTGCATGACACCCAGGAACAGGAACTCATTCACAGGCTGCATGAATTGGTAATGAATCCAACCCAGCATCGATTAAGGCAGAGCACACAAATGGTCTGACACCAGGGGGTTGCTGTTCAGGTCTGGTAATAACAAAGCTTTAATACACCCAGAATAGAAAGGAAGCAACAGCCTTATCAAGTGAATGCCATGAATAAAGAGCTCAGCTATCAGGTGACAGATGTGGTGGAAAACCACCATGCAGAGAGAGCAGAAAGGAAACAGAAAAAAATCTCAATACAAAGAGAAGAAAAACATAAATCAAAACAGGCAGGCGGGTCAGCTCCATGCTGAGAAGGGCAGTGGGGCATGGCTGCTTAGTGCCTGCCTCCATACCACGTGTCTGTTCTGCTGCGTGACATACAGGTCCTTTACAGTAAGGGTGACAGAGCACTGGCACAGGCTGCCCAGAGAGGTTGTGAAGTCTCCTTCCCTTGAATATGGAGATATTCAAGACCCATCTGGATACTTACCTGTGTGACCTACTGTAAGGTACATGCTTTAGCAGGGGAGTTGGGCTTGATATCTTGAGGTCCCTTCCAACCCCTGTGATTCTGTGACTGTGTGATTAAAGCCCAGGATGTGGCCTTTTGTGCACGGGTCCCATTAACACCTTTTGCAACTCACCATTTCCATGAAACTTTAGTGCCCAATGCTTCTTTCTGATGTCAGGATAACAGCCACTCCAAAACCACCACATTGGAAGTTCACAGCTCCAACATGCTCTCAGGCTGCTCAAAGCCAACTGCACAGTATAGCCAGTCCAGTTATAAAGGAAATTTCAAAAAGACACTCCTGACAAAGGATCCAGCAAAATTCAGTAGTGAAAGGAGAATAATTAGGAGTGGAAAATATCTCAGAGGAGGCAGGTATGGGAAGATAGAGGTTATTTGCACTAAGGAGGAGCTGCAGATGAGAAGACATGATAAAGCAACTACAACAAAGAAGTTGGCAGGAGGCACCTATCCTCCCTTTCTTCTAACATAGAATGGCCACACAATGAAAATCATGAGTTCAAGGTCAGGCATTGTATAAAATTTAAAAAAGCAGTTGAACTTGTACAGCCCATGCAACAATCTGGAAAGGAAATGAAACCTCACAGTGATGTGAAGCCTAGCCAAAGCAGAAGGTGTTAGTGAGCAGTGCCACCACACATAGGCAGGTCAGTTCCCTGCCAGATCCTCCCTCAGTCTGAGGAACCTGTGCACAAGCAAACCTTCCTGCCTGGCTAGAGTCAAAGCTGAGCATAGGGTGAGACTCAACAGCTTTCAGCAGGCCACTGACATGAGGCTTCCCCACAAGACCATTCTCTGCACCAAGAGACACAGCTCACACTCACCGCTCAGGGAAACTCTGGTAACACAACCAATCTCAAACAACCAGCAAGGTGAGCACCTGAGCTCACCAGACTGAGATGTTTTTCTTTTTTTTTTTTTCATTATTCAAAATGAAGGCTTTGGCTGGAGATTTTGTTAGTTACAAGAGTTCTAACACTGTCCCCCAGTTGCATTCAATGTGAGCACTGCGGGGCAGCTCCATGAGAAATGCAGCCAGCTGAAAGTCACCTCTGCACTTCAACATCAGCTGCAGAAACCACTGCAGAATGCTCCTAGCGGATGGCTGTGAAATTCAACAAGTAAGTAAGGTACAAACACGGTGATATTTTATTTTTTTGTCCTGTATACAGTTACACATAAAAACTTCCAAATAATCTTTGTTTTAATTAAATAATCTAGTTCATTTCATATGCAGTAAATTCATTAGGCTTTGTTTTAAATTACAAGAACAATTAGCTTAAATACTGTGCTTTTAGCAATTAATAATTTCCACAGTTCCATAAACATGTCTCAGCACCATCTGACCTTTGGAAGGCTCAGAATGTTAAATTCACAGCTTTCACATCCCAGTTCTGAAGATGGTTCAGACCACAGAAACACAAGCAGGAGGCCTGCTGCTGCCTGTTGGTGTGCTAGGCGTTGCCCCAAGCAGCTCATGGTGTCTTCCAAAAACAAGAAAGCCATGTTTCACATTTACAGCTCCAGGTCCTGCAGGTCTCCCCAACTAGGTCCAATTTTCACTTTAACATTCAGTTTTACAGAGAGTTTGACAGCATTTTCCATCTCATGCTTGACAATCTGAGCTACCTGTAAGAAAACACACGTTGAGTTTTGCAGCACTGTGTAGGAACCTAAAACACAGCAGCTCGGTGCTCTTTCTGTTGGAAGCTGTGGTGGTTGGGCATCTGAAGCTCTTTCTTGCATTCACTGGCACTGACTTGCCACTGATGGAAATGTAAAGGAATATTTTAATCCTGATTAGGATTTATGAACTGGGAACCTGTTTGAAACAAGTAACAGAATGGGGACTAGTTTCATATTATTTAAAATTACTTTAAAAAAAAAAAAAAGTAAATTCCCATTGAATGCTTCAGAGTCCTGCACTCTCCTGTTCCACTCCACCGCATAACTGAGCATTTCATGGAGTCTGCTCTAAAAACAGCAGTGTACAGGAAGCAACACACAAAAAATAAACCAGAGGCAAAGAGCTGAAGAGCTGTGTTCCTCCTCCTTTCAGTGTGAGAGGCAACCTGTGAAACAAACACTATGGACTGCTGGGAAATACAGGTGAATTTGCCCTCTATTTGGTTGCAGCAACTCCAACTTGCTGCCCTCCAAATATATTTTTAAGAAAATCTTCATTTAGGTACACTGTTGGGGACCCAGAGGATATTTTTGCTCTGGACTTTCTGGATTGTGAGACTGGGTATTTTACCCAGTAAATGGCTGTCATGGACCAAAAGCCCACATGGAGCCAGCCTGTCCTGCTTGCTTGTATGAGAGAATCTTTTCATCCACACTCAACCCATGAGCCAGTTGAGTAAGAAGCAGCTCTGAAATGACTGAGGCACATCTCAGCCAGAGATTGCTGAGACTGTGGGAGCTGTCCAGAGTATCCAACCCTTCAGAGCTTTCCATTTCTCACAGGAGCCCACAGGAGAAATTACCTCATAAGGCTTTCACAGAATCATAGAAATTTTGCTGGGGAAGGGACAAAGGATGCTGAGAAGATCATAGCAGATATGCTCACAACAGCATTACAAAGCAGAGGGAGATCTGTCTTAAAAAATCTACACTCTTACTTACCATATTTCATAATGTTCTTGATAACCTAGAAAAAGCCTTTGAAATAGGACATAATTCAGTACAGACAAGTACTGAAGAATAGAGAAGTAGAACAGAAAACTAGGGTAGAAATAATCTCCTGTTCAAAAATAGGATGAAAAATAACCATCCGTGAAGGAGAAGAAAAAAAAGTCGTTATCAGAAATTAAAAGCCTAAGTAAGGCATACTTGTTGTGAGGAAGAAAGCAAACACAATTCTGGAATATGGAAAAAGAAAATGTTGCTTGTGTGACACATGGATCAGTTCTCCACTCTACTGAAAACCACTGCAGCCTTGATTAAGAGTTGGGAGCAGTATTTCAAAAGAAACGTGAACTCTATAGAGGGAGCTCTCTGAAAACAGCAACAGGCCCAGCCAGCCTGCCCAGTGAGGAACATGGGATAACACCACTGTCTTTACAGCAGGAGCTGTAAAGTCTACAGTCTACAGAAGACAGCTGCAGAGATGCAAGAACCTGTGTGGGTTCAGGGGAAGCTGATGGGATGAGACAGGTCGTGCACCAACCCTGACCTGGGAGAATTTGGGCTCTGAATTTCCTGTACATTAAACAAGTGTCGCCATTTCCAGTGTTCCCAATGGCCAGCTGAAACACACTGGGAAAAATACTGACCAACTTGTATACATAAAAATGATGATGCTGGGATCGAGTAGGCAGTTAAAAAAACATCTAGAAAGCACCTAGCCTTTGATTCCCAATCTAGCCCATAATTAAATATTCCTTCCTGACTTCTCCTTGCTGAGATCAGCACAACAGGTTGGCGGTTGAGCCACTTTCTCCTATTTTGGTAATATTCTCACTGTGTTCTGTTGTGATGAGCTCTGAAAGTGCCCTCCTTCCACTTTGTTATCCTGCACAGACTATAAAAGCCCTGATATCTCATACTTTTCATACCTTCAGCTCAAGGAAAAACAGCTGTTACCCCAATTTTGTCTTCTAAAAGAGGCAGGCTAGCTCAGATAGACTGCAAATGAAAACCAGAGGATCATTTGCATTGGTTCTCTACCAAACTATCTGCAAGGACACTGTTGACTGCAACATAGACTACTAGATATATGGGAAGATATTTTTAGTTTTCCTTTGTGCATTTTCGTAGCTGAAAATAAGCTGGAGCCAGCATAAAGCATGTGACCACACTAACTTATCTGAATACAAATTACTATTGCAGCCAAGAGACACATGACTTACAGTGCAATAAAATTTTGGCGCCAGCAAGATGAAAAAGTCACCAATACAGCAACCAAGTTATTCTCACTTTTTACTAAAAGGCGTTCAGTGGGCATGGAGGTGATGGATTGATGGTTGGAGCAGATAATCTTAGTGGCCTTCTCTAATCATAATGGTTATATGACTCTATGATTCTATGAAAAGGACTTATTAATTCAGACCCTATTTTGAATGAGGGCTTGAGTGAGGTGGATTTAAAGAGATCCTTCCTAGCCTGTGTCTTTCCACTAGAGGAAAATTCTAATGGTGCATTTGAATAGAAAGCAGGCAGCATTATCACAAAAAGGGCCCTTTCTGGCCGTACAAACAATTAAATGAAAGGATAGGAAGCATATTGTTGTTTCGGTAGAAGGAAATCCTTGAAAAACTTGCAACCTCAATCAGTAACACAAATGGAAAGTCTGGGAAACATGCCTTGGGTACATGCATTGTTCTATTTGATTGCCCAGAGAATCAATTCTCTAATTTCCTTCAGAAATCAGAAACTAGTAAAGCACTGGAACTAAAGGCTGTTATTGAAAAAATATAAAACAGTAAATAAGTATAAATAAATAATATGAAAATCCTTGCACATCGCCCCAGTTCTTCTGGGGATACCGTAGTAACTTGAATTCAGTGTCTAAAGGTGTTAAGGCCTATACTCTAGAAGCGTTTTCAGTTCTCTACAAAATGTAAATTAGGACCCTTTTAATGTCTGTGACAGCCTGCCCGGATTGAAGAAGCAGATGTCCAATTGGAGCTGGTAAAACAAACAGAATCTGGGATTCAAGAGAAAAATATTAAACACTTTAAGAAAATTGAAAAATATTGCTCAGATTCATCACTACCACTGTCTCTGCTTGCCACTGGCCTTTGGAATGCCTCTGTCATTTGGAATGCATATGGGCAGAACTTAAATGGAAGGACACCCCAAAGATGCGGGAGCACATCCTGGGAGCCTTCCTGGATTTGTGCTCAGGACTTGGGCAAACACTTTGCTGCCAGCACACAGCTAAGAGGCTTACTGCTGAGAGCTGTCAGACGCCAGAATGCACAGGCACAGGAGCTCTTGCACAGGAGAAGAGCATACACAGACATTTATGTACATGAAAAGTACCTTAAATCCATGCAGCACATTCATTGTAACTACTATACTGCTATCCCTAACAATATTGCCAGAAAGATGGGTATGGGAATGAGGAAACAGTACCAAATGCAGACATCTCCTTTCCCTACATAGGAAACAAACTACAGTGGTATGTACTACCTGCATGGAGTTAGACAGCAGAAGACAAAGAGAATAAGGAGAGAGGCAAAAATACATCCAAACTTAGGAATTTCCAAATGATAAGTACTTTCCCCTGCAGCTATCAATAGTACTAAGCTATTTCACTCATGTCTTGAGGAGAAACTGGAAGAACTGCTCCAACAGGCACTGGAAAAGAAGCTATGAACTTCAGTGACAGGGATGGTTCAAGTCTGAAAGTAAAAGAATCAAGAATATAAATATAATTTTTCAACCAATTTAACATTTCTTTCACAGGCCCTTTAGCACACATCAAGAGAAGATCCATCTTAATTAAGGCTTGTATAAACATCCTAATGCTGTAGATAGCTAAAAAATCAACCGCACAGCCCTACCTGGATCACATCATCTTCTGCAACTTCATAGAGGAGCTCATCATGGAGCTGAAGGATAAAGAAACCTCCACTGATGGGATGCAACATCTCTCTGTTTCTCTTCCTTGACAGCCTTCCTACATATGTGAAGAAAGAACACAGTTTGTTAGATACCACCAAACAAAAGCATGGTTTTGTAACCAAAAAAAAACCTTCACACATTCCTAATGCTAAGAAAAAGAATACAAAGAACAAATGAAAAATCCCATGTCAATGGATAAAACCAGAAAACTTTTCTATTCTGTCAATATTTGTTCATCTACTGAGGCAAAAAATGTAAAATGAAAAGCATTTTAAATACAAACATCTCAGCCTTAATTTGTAAAGATGTGAATCAGAACAGAAACAAGAGACAGTTGCATCTCCTGAACCATCTGCTTTAAAAGTAAATTTTAAACAAAATCATGTCAAGTTTAATCAGAAGTTGTCTATAATGTTCTCTGTGATGACGAATTAGAATCCTGGTTTTTCCCAAAATAATTTTAACGGCTAGTTTAAAAACACAGTAATCTTCTCCTAAATGCAATTATCTGAAACTGTAACTACTACTTCTGATTAAAAATGATAATAAAAATTAAACAACAATTTTTGAATTAGCTGGTAAGTAGCTGACAAAACAAAATAGGATCCTCATGGATTTCATGGGCCCTTTACAAGTTCGAGTGCACCCTTGGCAAGCTTGCCAGTGACAAGAAGCTGAGTGGTGCAGTTGACACGTTAGAAGGAAGGAATATCATTCAGAGGGACCTCAGCAAACTCAAAAGGTGGGCCTGTGCAAACAAAATGAGGTTCAACATAGCAAAGTACAAGGTTCTGCACTTCAGTCAGAGTAATTCCAGATATGTATTCAAACTGGGAGAACTCCTTAGAGTAGCCCTGCAGAGAAGGACCTGGGGGTTCTGGTGAATGAAAAACTTAACATGAGCCAGCAGCTTGGAAGGCCTATAGTATCCTGGGCTCCATCAGAAAATGGGTGGCCAGCAGGGACAAGGAGGTGATTGTCCCTTTCTATTCTGCCCTTGTGAGGCCCCATCTGGAGTACTGCATCCAGGTCTGGAGCTCCCAACACAGCAAAGATGTGGAGCTGTTGGAGAGGATCCAGAGGAGGGCCACTATGATGATCAGAGGGCTGGAGCACCTCCTCTACAAAGACAGGCTGAGGGAGCTTCTCCAGGCTTATTCAGTCTGGAGAAGTGTGCAAGGAGACCTCATTGCAGCCTTCCAGTGTGTAATGGGATTAAAAGAAGGGGAATCAATTTTTTACTCAGACAGATAGTGATAGGACAAGGGGGGATGGTTTTAAGCTCAAGGTTTAGATTAGATATCAGGGGGAAATTCTTCAAAGAATGTTGAGGTGCTGGAACAGGCTGCTCAGAGAGGCTGTGGATGCTCCATGCCAGGTTGGATGGGGCCCTGGGAAACCTGGTCTAGTACCTGATCTGGAGACTGGTGGCCCTGCCTGTGGAGGGGGGGGGGGTCAGAATTTGTTGATCCTTGGGGTCCCTTCCAACCTGAGCCATTCTATGATTCTGATTCTTACTTGCCAAAAGTAAGGGAGAACAAAAATTCTGTGGCAAAAGTTGAATGCAAGCAAACAAAAATCCTAACACACACACACTCTAAAGTTATTTGTTTTGGAAGTTAGCTAAAGGAGGACTGCAGCTCACACCTACAGTAAGAGTTTTGCTGCTTGTTCCTCACGTAAACCTCACACTCAACATTGCTGCTTCAAGAAGCCGCATGACACAGCGTGCATCTCTGAAGGGAGAAGCACCTACAACTTGCTCAAAGGGAATTCTTTCAACTTCTTGAAGTAACTTGTGTTATGAAGGAGCAAAAACTGTCTCAAGGGAATCTACTCTCTCTCCTAGTTATTCTCTCTGGTGGCCAAAGACCGTCAGCTTCTGCCTCTAGAGAGGTAAGTTGCTGTAGATGCATGCCAACTGTCCATGGCAAACCTCTGAAATTTGCCTCCCTAAAACAAAGCTCCTTAATTATTTAGTTTTCCTTCTCACGTTCAAAAATCATTATTCATATTAAGACAGCTTTATGCTTCAGGCTGAAGCACAGAGCTATCAATGAAACATAGCATTCTGTCCCTTATTTCTTTCTAAAAATATATGATTGATGAACAAAACGCTGTCTACATTATGCATAAAGAGTCCTCATAGCACTCCTACGGGAATGGGTACCTCAGCACAGCTTTGCTATCTGCAGCCAGAAGAAATTTATGATGACAATTGCTTCATTATACCACCATTATGGAGCCTCTGTGCATCAAAGGTCAGTGAATTCTGAACATAATTCTAACTAATCAAGTATATATACATATTTGTGGAATTAGAAGTTGTTTCACTCTATCTTTTCACAGCTTTTGAAGCCGGTGTATCTGCTCAGTTTCTTCTTCCTACTTTTCAACAAATCTGTAGCAGCAACAGAATTTGCAACATCTACTTTGAGGCAAAATAGAGTTTCTAATATGATCACAGCATTTTCTTTACTATGTTTGTTGAACAGACATCCTCTCTCATTCCTTACAACTCTTTTGCTGTTGAGCACATTCTTACTATTGTCAGGAAATAAAATTTGTCATCCCCCTCCCCCCCCCAAGACAAAGCCCCAAAGATTTTACAGGCATTGCTTTTTTTTCTCATTACTATCAGCAAAAGTTTTACCTTAGAGTGCAAAGAAGAGGTGAGTATACCTGTCTTATCTCTTTGCAATGAGTTCTCCCGATGTCCATGGGACTTGGTCACAGAAGAGAGAGCTTCCAAGCGTTTCTGAATGTTCACAGTGGCTGTTTTGACAATGTCAGCAGCAGATCCCTGAACAGTTGTGTTCACAGCCTGGCGCTCTGCCTAAACAAAAATACTTTTTCTCAAAACCCACCCAAAAAAATAAATGCCACATGTACTTCATTAAAAAATAATAAATGTATGGCCAAGCCCAGCCATAGTTAAACCTCCAGAGTTCAATATATCTGCCTGAGAAATTATACACTAACTTCTTGCACAGTACTTCTCCAGCTGACTGAGAAGAGGAGTATATGCACTTATTTAAAATGCATTGTTGGTACCAGGGGCAATAACCTGAAAAGTCACATTCCACAAGAAGGAGAAGGATAGTACACATGGTTGTGAGCTTTCATGAGGGCCAGAAAGTCTCCCAGATAATTGAAGTACCATGCCTAACTTCAAAACTGTCAGGAATGGATAATGATCAGGTTTACTACACTAGCCCCTAACTGCCAGATCATCACCGCTGTGCAAAAGCACACCAAACTGCACTGTCATGCAGTGGCAGGTTTTTCACACAAGGAAATTCCACCAGTCCCCTCCTCCGACAAGAAAAGTATATTCAGAAGTTCTTCTCTGTCTCTCAGCTTAGAACTGAGATGTGTGCAAAAAGTAATGAGGAAGCTGAAATAAAAGGGAAGATAACGCATTAACTGATCTTTAATAAGATTTTAAAGAATAAATCAAAGTTGAACAGAGAGTACATCCACAAAGCTTCACACTAAAGTATCCTTCAGGTTAAATAGCCAAATAATCTCAAATAGAAGTTTTAAACATCTCCAGGTTTCACTTTCAAGTACCTAAAATACAAACTCCCACACCCTCTCCTTGTTCCACTCAAATCTTTGATTCCACACAACCTGACTCAGCTTCCTACTGAGAAGTGCAATGCTTCCTCCCCACTGAAATGCCAACACCTCTCCAGGAAGTCAATCACTCTTAGTGAAGTACAGAGCCTACGACAGACTTGTCCAAAATGACCTTGAAAAAAATGATGCCAATGTGTAGGCATACACAAAGTAAATATCTAACAAATCAGGGCAATTTTCTTTTGAGAACAAATACCCCAAAATGTAGGACTTTAAATCCCCTTTCTTCGATTGATGAAATCATGTTACACTCAAAGACTGCTGAGTGGGAACAGCACAGTCTGAAGAGTTAAAATGCATCACAATGTGGAGGCTTTTTAAAATCATGTCCACTTATATCAATAAATTACTCACTCCTTTTCCAATGTGGGAGTTCTGAAGTGAGACACAGTGATGACAGCTGCACACCCAGTCACAGAAGACTTACGTCAAACAGACCATGACAAAAGCTTTGTTATTTGCAGAAGAAGTTGGGGGAACAATGAAGTAAATGACAAGGGGAAGGTCACAACTGAAATGGCTCACAAACCCTCTAGAAAAGCTATGGATAATCTGGAGAAATTTAACACCAAAAAAGGAGAAAGTACTGCACCCAACTTACATGAGCTTTACTGTAGGGATTTGAATCTCTGATAGCTGGTAGGTATCTCCGTCTTCCCAGTATGGTCTGCACAAACCCATCTCTTCTGCAGTTCCTTACTGTCTCCTGCAAGAATTTCTGAATACCTGTAAAAGGAAGAAAAAGTTTTCATTAAGACAAGTTTATTAAATTGACTAAGACAACTGATGCTTCACAATGATGCCTTACTGGGGTAAAGGAAGTCTGTGAAACTCAAGCAGCACATTTTACATTTCCTTTAGACTCTGTCAGTGAAGAAGACAAAGGACACAATCACTTATTCAGCCTATTCTCAAGCTCTGCTGGGAAACTATAAGTTTTCCTTCCTCATTCCAAAGAGATACGCTTATGAGGTGGAAAAGAAGGCGTAGTGTCAGGATATCTGGCTGTGCCTGAGAAGGTAGGAAGTAATTTCTGCACAGTGGCCAGGCACAGAGAATCATATACATACTACTGGTAATGGAGAGGTCAGGACCTGGAGCAACACTGGAAAGATAAGCAGCAGAAAGAGGGTAAGTTGAAAGCAGAAGTCAGAGCCCTTGATGACTCAGGTTGGCTTACTTCAGACTGTCACTTCAGATTCTAGGATGAAAAGCTCACCCACCTGTGCTCTGCAAAGGAAGGAGTCAATCCATCAAAGGTCTTGAAAAGAAATTTAGGTCAAAGAAAGACGAGACACAGAAGAGCCCCTTTCATTGCAAGTTCAAGTAACAACTGCACTGAACTGAAAAAAGTTAACTTCAATTACTTTTCAAGGTTTTCAAAATACAAAACATAAAAGGAGCTATTGAAGATCAAGACTGGCAGCATTAGTCAATCAATTAGGTATTGAATTTAGCAACAGCAATATACAGAAGTGAAAATTCATAGGAATTGAAATTACAATACATGGTCTTTGTATATTGCGAAGTTTGTGCGATTGCACATACATTGGGAGGGGAAGGACACAGGAAGTCATTTCTAACAATCTTTGAAGGACAGACTATCCAGAAATTACTGAAGACTAAACAGACTCAGCATTTGTCTCCTAAAGAAACAAACCCTGAACCTTGAAAACATACCTTTCTTGTTCATTTCTAAGTTTTATGATTAGAGATAGCTGTGCCACCTCCCATTTGTCCTCTATTCATTTTCTGATTGTAGCCCAACTCTTTCTATAGCTTTCCTAAAAATTAAAGTGCTGCTTCGTTAAAAGACATTCCTCCATTTCTAATTATGGAAGAATTACTGTGAACAACTGGATAAGAATGCAATAGTTATGAGCACGACAGTTAAAAATTCAATGAAATCAGAAGACAAAAACAGAAAAGATTATTAGTTATATTTAAAAATTATAAATGTGATCTGAAATCACATTACACTTCCCTTAAAACTGTATGTTTTAATAAAGAAAAGTTCATAAAGTTGAGACCTTGAAAATTAATCCCCAGGGCTGATAAATGTAGAAACCAGGCAATGGTGTTCTCAGGACAAATAAAACACGAGTACAGAGTAAAACATTATGGAGTACCAAACTGCTCTGTTCATACACTGAACTTTTGCAAAATGAAAAGCTTTTTAAAAAAAAAAATTGGAATAGTGGGAGAGTAAATATGAATTTAGGATTTGAAGAGACATGAAGTGAAGGGATTTAGAAACAGAAAAACAACAAACAAAAGAAAAAAGAAAAAAAAAAAAAAGCTCCCAAATAGTCTTATCCTAACCTGTGTATCTTGATTTGAAGGATTCGATGTAATTGGCAGCTTCATTGTCATCAATGCCCATCTGCTCGCCTAAAGATTTTGCTCCTATTCCATAGATGATTCCATAGCAAATCTGCCAGAAGACAGGGCAAAGAAACATAACAATGTGGTGAGCCACGCAGAGAAGAACAAGCCAAAATAAAATATGATTCACTGTAAGACAGGTGTATCGTAACAAGGGCAAGGATTCAGGAACAGAGATGACCTCTAGGTGCATCCATTTATTCTCCATTTCTCTACTCTTATCCCCTAGAACTCAGAAGCTCCAGGTGAAACTTACTGAAAGCAGGAGGACTTACAAAGCAATTACTGAACAGTCACAGCCAAACTCAAACTGCAAATCATATTACTGTGACTCCCAATGTTTTGAACACCAAGCCTTTCTGCCCAGAAAGCTGATCTTTTTTTTTTTTTCCTGAAATATACCTGCTTAGCTTGTTGCCTGGTGCTGTCTCCAACAGCTTCAGAATCAATCATCTTCCATTCTGCTGCGATGCTCTTAAAGACGTCGGTACCCCTGTTCAAGGCTTCAGTGAGTCGGCAGTCACGAGACAAATGTGCAAGGATCCTCAGTTCAAGTTGACAATAATCAGCAGCCAAGATAAAACCACCTGAAGTCAACAAATTAGGACAAGTCATTACTTTATATATTACTCCAGCAACATTCCAACGACACAACTCTCCATCTCCTGAGAAACAGAAGGTTTGAATTGCATCTCCTTGACTGCTGACATCGTTTATGCCCATGTGGGCACGTGCTACTAAACCACAGAACTTTCTTTCATATGCAGTTAATCTCACAAAGGCTAACCACAGTGAAAAGGACTGATGCTTCTTAGGTAGTTGCACCTTCTGCTGTGAAAGTTATATGCAGCTATTTCTATGCAACTTCAGACTTTGTTTTTTTTTGTGAATACTTTCAGGAATCACTTTTGCACCTGGTAAAAGTTCTACTGGTCAGCAGTAGAAATCAAAATAAAATCAAACCTAATCAAATCTAAAATCCATCAAATGTACCCAGACAGTTATCTGTCCAGGTGTACAAATCTAGCACCTGATAGGAATGCCCAACACAGAGATCAGACCATCAGGCTTGTATTGAGCCAGGGCAGGCAATGTGAAAACAGATGTTAGAATAGAGAACGCTTAGATACAGTGTGTATTAAGAGCTCTAGATAGAGTGCAATTAGTGTATTAAGAGCTCTGTAAATATAACTCCTTACAAAATATGTATTCTTAAAGCGAGGATGAAGGTGTGAACATTTGAATTATAACATTAGAATATTTTACTGAGTTGAAATATTCTCCTTTACAGCCTTCCTGTGAGTAATTTTGAGACCATGTTAACAACTGCATTTGTTTCCCAAGGAGGCTACTCAGATATGAACTGTCACCATTTCTGAACTCTTCATCAGATCTAGAATTTTTTGTTAATTACATTCTTAACAAATAGCTTGCACAGAGAGGGATCTGAGTGTTACCTGGGAAGGGAACAAAGGCATGCCGCATGCTAACAGAAAATGGAATTCCTCTTCCTTCAACTCTGTCTTCAGCCCAAGTATTTACACCATTAGGCAAAACACTGGAATGCTTTCTACCTCTGTGGAGACAAAGAATCACTTTTCTTCACCAATTTCTAAAACGCTAGAAGATGCATAATCATTTTTGCCACAAAGAAGCCGTGAATGCAAACAAGACAGTAGCTTCTATTCCCCAATCCATAACAAAAATTGACTATGGGAGAATTAGACAGAGGCTATAACTGAATGCATAACTGAATGGATTTACTGACTCTGAGCAGATTTAGAGGTAATTATTCCTATTATATTCAGAGTTCAGTTCACAAATTGGGTGATTCCACTCCAAAACAGGTAAGATTAAAAGCTCCAGATCTGTGATAAATGCATTCCAGAAACAAAGCAAAGAAGCCCTACAGGAATCTTGAAGGTTCAGTACTCCAGCCTGAGTGCCAGGTCTTCTATTAGTATTGGTCTCTTAAGTGGAACATCTACGCTACCTGATTGTTGATAAAGAAAGAAGTCCCCCATTCCAGCACCATGTAAACACACAGAGATATGCCTTTAAAAATAGAGCAGAAGTTGCAGATGACATGCTTATGACATGCAGCACATTTCCTTGCTAAAGACTGAGCAAAAAATGGACCCCAAGGCAACCTTATTTTCTTCCTCCCAGAGTTTGCTTCAGTCTCCTTTTCCCAAAGTCATGCCTACCTGCAGCTGGAATTGTGTCCATCAGTGCACCAACTAAACAGTGCACAACTGTGACACCTCTCCTTCCATCAGTCACCAGCCTGCCAGCCAGTTGATTGTGTTCTTCACTGGAAGTCCAGTCAAAGCCTTTTATAAACCCTTGAAACTTGGGTTAGGGACTCTGAGATCCTAGCTAATTCCAGGAGAGCAAAGTGTGGAAGACATCATCTGCTCTTCCTTTGGGCACTCCCTTTTCTTCTTATTCCTTATCTTTTCAGAGATGGTAGGGATCAAGATGAAGGACTGCATAAAAATCATGGAAAATAGGTTGTATGGTGCTGTTGAGTAGAAGTTCCCGACTTCTTTAAATGAGTAATGGTTTTTATCACTATCTAATTTACCTTCCTTTGGTCAGAAGATTCTTAGAGCAAGATGAAAGGGAGAACCATGCACAGTTAATACTAAGAAAAACAGGATGGTTTGCACTCAAATTCGGGAGACTTATCATATTTGGACTACAAGACAGTCTCTTTTGTGCCAGCGGTCTGTGATTGTGCACCTTCCCAACACAATGACTTAACTAAGGAATGTAGAAACTTGCCTAAAAAGCAGGCCTCTCTCAAAGTTTAGCAAAGACTCCATTCCTTTCAATGAGCTGCTTCTCTACAGAACACAGCCCCCTCTACAACTGTCCAGCTAAGCTGCTGCAAGCCCAAGCACTGCCAGTGCTGTTTGTCAAGATAATGCTTCTGCCTCCATGGCTAGGTCTGGTTCCTCTTGTAGAGAAGAGGCATTAACAAGATTCTGTTACTTCTGGGCTCTCTTCCTATGACCTACTCAAGGCACAAGGATATAATACACATGGTAGGAAAACAGAGAAGAGCCAGAAAATTTCTGAAAGTTCTCGCATCTTCCTATGTGACAAAGATGATAAAAGTCATTCAGGTGACATATGTATGACAAGAATCTGAGTGGAAGAAGAAACTGAAACAGAATCCCACCACCAGGTATGAAGTCCCTGGGCTCACTAGCTGGCTGCCAAATGTCAACTTTGCTAGCTCACTAGACTTCCACACACTTCTAATTTTGACATCATTATACACCAGTGAATAGGGTTCTTAGATAAAAAAACAGATTCAGAAATCTTGCTTTGCAGCCTAGGTGCTTTTGAAGGAGATACTTTATCACACATGAAATTACTAACAAAGAACAAAAATATGTATATTCGTGTTGCCTGACCCAGGAAGATGCACAGCATAAAATGGCTGACCTCTCTTCTACTTCTTCAACAGTATCCCACACCCCTTCAGCACAGCTCTTAGAAAGTTAAACCAGTTAGTTACTTTTCAGACTCACGCTTTCCATCCAACAGTAGCGTGTACAACACTAGTCTGATTCCTGCTGAGATTCATAAATGACTATAAAAAGTAACTACATGAGTCCACATGCTATCAGGATTATTACATTTTTCACATGCCATTGTTTTTTTTTCTTATTTATGCCCCCGAATCAAGCATTTTTGGTATCTATTCCCCTGAAAGTGTAAGGGAAACACTGAGAAATGAGTCACATTGACATGACAGCAGCCACAGGCAAAGTCAGAAAAGAGAAATTTCACAACTCAACCACATTAGGATCAGGGGAGTAAACACAGGCTTTGCCAAGATCCTCCCTACCTGACCCTGGAAACAGCACGAGAATAAACTCCTCCATGGGTTCTGAAGGGTGGGCTTTCTTCAACTACAATCGGCATTTCAATCTCAAAATCTCTTGGCACATTCTGGATATTTGGCTCTGCAAAACTTACTCGACCTGAGAAGGAAGATGAGGTATAATTAAGTAAGAATCCAAAAGGAATCTCTCCAATAGGGAAACACACATCTGCGTTATCGTGAAAAACACAATTGCCAAGTGTTTTGGAGAAAAGAAAAAAAAAAAGAAAACTGAAGGAAAAGAAAAATAATTTATGATTAATGAGCTCATGCTAATTAAGGTGGTTCCTGTGCAACACTTTCTTATAGTTAATAGGAAATCCCAAGATCCAGAACCTGTTCTGGAGTCAGATGCTTGGAAGATAATATACAAGAAATTAATTATACAGAACAAACACATCTATGTAAGTCTCTCCAAAAGTAATGCCTCCTATTTATTTTCATGGAAACTACAACAGATACAAAGAGTGCAGTAACACTATTTGGTAGAGAAAATTCTCAGCTACAGAACACCACTTTTCAACATAGTAACCATAATTAGCTATGTATTTTTATCATCGATGAACAAGAGCCTTCACATCACACTTGTAAAATCACCAACAGAGGTGACTCACTGTCACTGCTGCCACTGTTGAAATGCACCACCCACATCCTCACTGTGCTCACATCCACTGTTTGGTCTCCATAAACATTCAGCAAGTATCAATGAATGTTAACGGATGCCATTTTTTTCCACATGGAGGAATCAAGTTACATACCCTTGCTTCATACATGCTTCCATGTCGGTCACCATTTCATCAGACTGCCCTTCTGCTGCCATCTGTCATGCAGCAACAACATGTAATGGAATATTGGTGGGAAGGTTCAGCCTCTACTGCCATACTGCCAAAATTCAACTCTGACATTGTGGGCCAACATAATAAAAGAGGAGGTGTTACTTTTGGAGTAAACCTCATATTTTAAACACATTTAGACTTACAGGACAGATTAACATGAAACATATTTACGTATTTTCATTTGGTTTGAAAGAAAGCACAGGCTTTATTTCTTTACTCTTTTCCCCACAGAAAAGCTGTCAAAATTCAATAATAAGGAAGGATTGTGCAGACATTTCTTTACCTGTAGCTGTGTGAGTCTGTGACACTGGATAGATCCTTTCCATTCCTAGAGCAGAACTGAATCGTTTTTCCCTCTGTAGTGGAAACACCACTTTAGAAATGGCATTGTTGATTCTTCTCCACTCCAGTATGAGTCCTGGCAGTGGGTGAAGTGTCTTTATTTTCTCCAAAACATCCTTGGTGAAGAGAAACACAGTTGTAATTAATTGCCTTAAAACTTTATTTATAAAGCTTTGTCTTGCAGCTTTGTGGGAAGAAGTATCTCCATCAGTGAGCTTCCAGTATCACTGACTGTAAAACAAACGGATATCTCTTCTACTTATACCGTCAACACCTGAACAATGAAAACACCATAAGATACAAGCAAGGCAATGACCTCTCTTTGGACTTCTTGCATCCACCATTATTGGTCTGCACCAATCAATAAGTCACCTGAAATGAGCAAAAAAGCATCACTTGTCATGCATCCTCTATGTTGCCTTCTCTTGCACAGTGTTAATGTTTCTCTTCCATTTACTTGTATATTTGTCTCCCAGTTGGAGGTGGGCAAGCTTGCCCATGGTAGGTGTTGGAACTAGATGACTTTAAAGGTCCCTTCCAACTCAATGCATTCTATGATAGCTTCCTATTTTCATGCTAGGAACACATAAAATGAAGCCCTTGACCATGCTTCTTGAAAGGCAAATTCATCACTAGCGATGAAGAGACTAAAATCAAAAGATAATGTCATGCAAATTATTTATCCAGTATAACATTTTTTGTATGCAGCAGGCTGTTATTGCCTCTGCCTTTTACATCACAAAAGGAGGGAATCCTCACTGTGCCTTTGCTTCTCAGTTCTTCCACCATGAGAATACTTAATTCTTCACTGCCACTTAAGTTTCAAAGATCAATATTTGCTTTCCAGACACCGACTACACTAAACATGGGGAAACAACAACACATTAATGAGTACTAAAAACAGGGAACATAGGTGTTAGCTTGTATCACTTGTCTGACAAGAGCACCTATTAGCCTGCAGAAGTTGATACTTTTGCAGTTGCACAGTATCTAGCAGCTAGACAGCATGTTGATCACCTTAACATACATACAAGCTTTTGAAATACTAAATTCAACGTGCCATAACATCAACCATTCTGAAGACAAATTCTGTGAAGCACCAAATATAGATTGGGCATTAACTGGTAGGAAAGACACTGTATTTAATCACCATGATATTTAAGTGCCTTTCAAGCTTATGTTGAAAAACACTTTTACTATTGGCTTTACAAAATTATTAACTATTTTGGTCTTGATTCAAATTCTGCCTGACTATTCTCATTGAAACCTGCTATTGAGAGTTAGGTCCTCACTAAAATTGGGCTTTAGAAGATTAGGAAGAGTTAACAGTTCTGCTAAATGAGAAGCCAGATTTGAATTTTCAGTGGTAACTGGAGGAGTAAAAGGCAAGAAAAAGTTTACTTTTATCTAAATCAGCATATCTAACTCCAACAGTACATGTGTGAAGTAAGAATTTTTCAGACAATTTCAGATTAGAACCAGACTTTACTGTACCTTGGTCGTACTGAACTGCTTGCTCAACCTAACCCAGTTTCCTTTAATAGTTGTTCTTCTGGTGTAACCCAGAGTTTTCTTGTTCCCTTGAGCTTTCACATCTCCATTCTGTGGCAATTTCAACTCTAGGAACAAAACCTGAAAAAGGCCAGCATCTCAGATCAGTTTCTGCACACTACTTCCGGGAGAATTCAGCACTTGAACAGCTTATTTCAGCCAGAGGATAGCAGGAATGCTCCAAGTAATTAAAAAGCTGATTAAAGATCTATGCTATCAAAGTCATCTCTCCTTATTTTAATTAACTATGAAATGCAATCTAAAATCTCATTTTCTAAGTACTGTAAGTTTGAGTTCAGATGTATGTTTTTAGGAAAGGTAATTAACTCCATCCATTAAGTGAGTTTACTGCTGAGAGCCAACTGTTATAAAACATGGAATTAAGAAGACTAAAAGTGGGAAGAACATCAGTGAAGAAAAGCAGTATTAGTGGAGAACAGGCTTCAGCATAACAACATTGGCACTGGAGGAGGTGGCCACAGATTATTAGTTTTTCTAACAAATTGCCAAAAGCTGGAAAATGAAGTACATGCTCACTACTTGACAGATACAACACAGTTCTTCACTTTCCACTCTACGTAGCATTATACACTGTTTCACAGCTATTGCATTTCATTTCACAGCTGGGAGAAGGGAATAGAACTTTCTCGCAAGTTTATTTATCACAAAAGTTTTGCTGCCACAAAATAAGATGAGTAAAGCACCACTAAAATATAAAAATATACTTCATGTGATTTCAAACAGGATTTCTGTATGAAAAAACAAACAGAAAACAGAAAAATATTTCTTCCCCTTTTCTATGAAGCAGAATAAAATCAGAGTTGAGCATTATTTGAGGAGTTCTAACTCACACAAATACTGCAAAACAAAACTTCTGCATTTGCAACATAGGTGGAATATTTTTGGAACTTCTTTTAGTGATCACTGCTCGCAAATTCCATAACAAGCAAGAAATTAGTGTATCAAACAGAACTAATCTGAAAAAAATGCATGCATAGCATTTCTAATCTACTCCTGGGATGACATGAAACATACATAAAAAAAAGTAATGTTCTTCAGAAATAAAAGTATCAGTAATCTAAATCCAAATCTGTTTCTTAGGCTTTTTAAAAAGGAATCAGTTCTATATACAGATGTTCAGATTCTTAAAAACAGATTGCAATTCCTTCAAAACTTGTAAAGCAATCCTCTCTTTCATGCCTGTGTTAAGGACAAAAGCAACATCCCAGCTTGTTCAGATCACGTGATACCACATCTAAAATGTATGTAAAATACTGCTGTTGCATCAAAGTTATTCTAGCCCTGAACCATTAACCCAAAATAATCTGAAAGCTGTTTGAGTGGCAGATGATCTCATGCTTCATGAGGAGCCAGGTCCTATAAAGACAACAAGTTCACTTCCACTTCATTTCTACCTTCTTTATTTCTGCAGAGCTTAGCAGAAATCATAATGATCACTATCAAGCAGAAGATGCACAGCACCTTGCAGGCAGCAAGCTCATAATGAGCACAGACAAATAAACTCCGACCAGAGTTCTTTCTTCATACGGAGTCTTCCCATGAGAGTTTTTCATTCAGTGTAAGCTAAAACACTTTGAGGATATCTTCTGAAAAGTACTCCACCTCCCATCCGAGCTCTCACATACCTCTGCAATGTCATCAGGGCTGGACAAGGAGAAACTGTGGCCTGCCAGTTGATAAGCCTTGGTCTCAATCTCAGCTAGCTTAGCTTGCATGACCTGTTTCTGGGTTTCATATGCTGCTGTGCTAAACCCAATGCCATTCAGCTCCAGCAGAGCCAAGCAATAATGGTTGGGCATCTCCACTTTAGAAAACACATCTGGAGTAAGAACAAACGTCAAGAAAAACTTCTATAACATCAAAAACATATCAACTGTAACAGATTTGTTTAAAAAAAAAAAAAAAAAAGTAAAACATTTATAACAACAGCTGGTAAGTTAACTTCTGTCAAAAAAATGGGTTTTTTTCCAAATATACATCTCCTTGGATATCAGCATTTTATAAACTTTGGATGTGATTAATGTAAAGCTTTCTAACTGGATACACTTTCATTCCACCACCTACATCTTTTAAAAATGTTCTAAGGTTTAGCTGTCACAATCATAGGTGACGTGGTAAACTTGCAATACAATGTTTCAGTGAGACTGGAGGGACCTTTCTCCTAGGCTCTGGGTGCAATTTAGGGGAAACAAAATGACAAAGCCCAACAATAGGTATATGCTCTTGGTTTGTGTTTGTTTTTGGATAAGGACAAACACTCAGCAACTGTTAGTGCAAGAACACTAGACTGTTCATTATGGGATTACAAGAGTTTAATGAGGTGCATACGAGGGAAAGGAAGCTACAGCCAGAGAGCAAGAACTCTTCACCAGAGAATCTCTGCAGATTTTATAAGTTGTTTGTGATAAGGAAAAGCAAGGATTCACAAGAATCATAGAATCATTAAGGTTGGAAAAGACATCTAAGATCTAGTCCAACCATCAACCCATCACCACCATGCCCATTAAACTATGCCACTCAGAGCCACATCTACACAGTTTTTAAAAACTTTCAGGGACAATAACTCCAAGGTCTCCCTGGGCAACCTGTTCCAATGCCTCACCACTCTTTTCGAGAAGATGTTTTTCCTAATATCCAAACTGAATGTCCCCTAGAGCAACTTAAGGCCATTACCTCTCGTCTTATCACTAGTTTCCTGGGAAAAGAGGCCCCATGTCCCCACAACTTCCTTTCAGGTAATTATAGGGAGCAATTAGGTCTCCTCTGAGCCTCCTCTTCTCCAGACTGAACAATCCCATTTCCCTCAGCTGCTCTCTGTAAGATTTGTGCTCCAGATCCCTCACAGTTTTTTTGCCCTTCTCTGGACACGCTCCAGTACCTCAGTGTCATTTTTGTAGTGAGGGGCCCAAAACTGAATACAGTACTTAAGATGCGACCTCACCAGAGCTGTGTACAGAGGGAACAAACATAGAAAGACCCCTCAAAGTAGCCAAGATACTCACCTGGGAGATAAGGATCCTTTTGATTCAGAGATTTTAAATAGACTATTATCCAGATGGGTTCCTCAGCCAATGGAACCAATGGATACTTGGGATACAAAAAAAACCATCTTAAATCCTATAATGAACTCCCAAACTCTCCTCTGGTTAATTTGTTTTTGCAAAACAGATGTATTTCCAAAGAAAATTCCCTCTTTTCTTTAAAAAGATTAGATTTTTTCCACAGAATACAGTTGAATAAGAACTCCCAAACCTCTTCTGTTCTCCACTGATCACTCACTTTGTGGTAGTACAGCTACCCTATCTCTGCCCTCGAGTGGAGGAGGTCTATTTACCTGTCAGATTTTCCTTCTGTAGTTCACTATGGAGTTGGTTCATGACATTGAAGATGAGTACAGACTCTATTGCTGCTCTGTACCGCCCAGAATGATCTTCACTGGAGCTAAGCCCCAGGCTCTGCACCCCCTGACCAGTGCTTATCCCTTCCAGCAAAGGTAGCTCACTGGGTAGAAAGTTAGACACCATGTTGTGAAGGGTACGTTCCTTAGAGCCAGAATCAAGCAGCCAACAAGCAACCTTAAAAAGAGAGACTTCTGTGAGACTTTTTTTCCATTTTAATCATAATACAACCTTAATGTTTGACTGGGGGTTAAAGGCAAGATTATCGTGCACATCATTCTTCATTTGTTAGGCAGACTGGAATAATTTGTGGAAAAGTTACACGATTTCAGATAAAACTTTTAAGAGGTCATGTCACTTACATGCTTTATTCTCACTGAAAATTAATTCTACACATTTGAAAGTCTTACCCATTGTCAACTTAAAACATCTATATTCTTCACTGTTTTACTTATATCATCCTAACACAAAGGGAATTCAATATGACAACCAGGATCAAAATGTGTTTACTCTGAAAATTGAGTTTGTAAAAATCAGGACTTGCTGTTGATCTAGAATATATGAGCCAAGCTGAGCTCTCTTATTTTCTGCATATCAGCACCAGGAGCAAGAATATTGTGAGGCAAATTTTATTCTCAGTAAGCCTCATACTTCCCACTGTTTTCAAAGCAATTCTGCTCATAGCTATATTTCAAATTGTTGTGTCAAAACAGGATGAAGCACAGGTTTCTTTTACGTTGTCTCTGACATACAAGCTGAAGATTAAAAATGCGTACATACGTAGGGGTGTGTGGGAGGTGTGGGGGTGTGACTGTGTATGTATGTATGTATATATTCATTGCACTGCTACAATGAATAAATGTGACTCTTTTTCATATACAGAACAGTGTGGGGAAAAGTGCTACTTTTATTGCTCTTTAATTTTATCCCAAAGCCATATCATTACGAAAAGCTAAGTTTGTCCTTCTGTTGAACAGCTTTGCTACTTACCTGTAGGCTTTAATATTGCCTTAATGCTATTCAGCCCACATGTGATGTAAGATATAAATACCAACACTAGAAATTTCTGTGCTTCTAAACCTTTTCCTAATAAGGACAAGAAGGCATCCATACCTTTTGAAATTACATATAAATTTGTTTTGTTTTGTTTTGAGAAAATAGTGGTAGTAGAGTAGTCCATACACACAGCAGATAAACCCTTTGGTAACAAAATCTTCTAATCTCAGATTCAATAATCTGACCAGAAATGCTTCCAACATTTCAGTCTCTGGCTTCTTATAAACAACAATACAAGAGTTCAGCCCAGTCCACTGGGACAGGTGAGATTTAAACTTATCCTCTCCACTTAAGTAGTCAGGCATGAAATATTAATGTGACAAATAACACTGAATCTGGCTTGTTTCTCTTGTAGGCAACATGAACGCACACACTGCATGAGAACACCTCTTAATAATATTCTACATTTTCCACTGGAAGAAAATTTCCCAAAACCCCCTGATGTATATTCATATTCAAATCTAAATTACAGGAGCACCAGAAGGTACTCCTGCATTTCTATTTATGTTTTTCACCCAAGTTAAATATCTTAATCCTGCCAACCTTTGGGTCCTCAAAACTTCCTTCCAAGGAGATGCCACAAGCCAGCAGTAGGGTCTTGTAGTGCTGAATGAAGTTATACATGACAAGTGAGCGCTTGTGCTTCTCCTGCAGGTACAGCTGCAGATGATGCAGTCTCTCTGTTACAGATAGGTTTTTGTCCAAAGGTGGTGGTGCCAAACTCGGACTGATTTCTAAAGTAGAAAATGCAAACATAATCAACATTTTACCCAGTGTATAAGAAAAGAGAGATAACCTTGAATGCAACCAACTAAAGAAAAAAAAATGTATAGTAGGACAGTAAACAAGTAACAATAAACCTATACTGACTTTATTTTTTCAAAATAGACATGGCTCCCAAAAACTGTGCTGTGTTTATACTACTAAATAAGGAGGGCCAGGAATCAAAACTTAGAGATAAGAGCAGATTGGGCATTATTCTAATGTCAGATTTAGAGTGAAAGCGAAAAGAGGTTGAAAGAGAAAAGCAGGTAAACTAAAGAGAACACAGGAGTTAAGTCAAGACATAAGTCGTCCACTACACGAGTAGCAGTTCTTTGCTTGTGCCAATCACCTGGTAGAAAAAATCTATAGATAGCAACTTGTTCAAGCCAGCTGAACACTTAAAGTGATGAAAAATAATACGGCTAAATTGCTCCATCATACAAGTGAGCTGAGAAAGGAATAACCATAACACTTCCAAAAAACTATCACAGGTACTTTCTTGAAATGCATGTCACATAAAGCAGCACACCCTCACTTACCCACACTGCTCACTTACCAGTCTGGTCTTGAATCTGCTGCAAAGATATATAGTAGGCATCTTTTCCACCCCAACAGACTGCCAGTCCAACTACCAAGATGTCTTCACAGTGTTGGACAGGAAATCCATCATCGTTGACCTGCATCCACTGGGGAGAATTTCCTAAGGGAATATTTTTAATTTAAAATTACAAAATGGCATCTATAAATACAGGAAAGTTTGGTTCTGGAAAATGTAGATACATACAGCTGAGCTTAAATTTGTTAAATGTGAATATATACCTTTATTTCTATCTATATGGAGAAAATACCCGTGTTTCTCTTTGGGGGGAAGGGTGGGGAGAAGATGTTTAGGACACAGTGGTTTCTATTCTCTTGTAGTAGAAACAATCATGAATGCAGCATTCTTGCAAAACTCCAATTTCCTAGCAATCTCTTCAAAAATTCAGTTAGAACAACATTGCTTCCTTTCACTCTGTAAAACGTTACAGATTTGTCCATCAAAACTATATTTTCATAGAGAAATATTTGTTGTTGTTGTTGTTATGATTATATGATAGCGAAAAATCTAAGTCTATTCCATCTTATGTTTTTAAAGGAACAGTGTGTTTATATGACAGCAAACAATCTGCAGCAAATGCAGACTTCTGTGGGAAAGAAATTTAAGCACTATTGCAAGAATCCAGAGGCTGACACTGAATTTCATACATAGATACAGTTTATCAAATTAATATTTTGCAAATGTGGAAATATTTGCTTCAGAAGCAATCTCACAAGTACTGCTGCCTGGTGGAGACCCTGAATAATCCCTAGAGGTCACTGTTAAATACATAATTTATTTTAAAATATACTAAAATTTATGACATGGAAAGATACGTGTGACAAAGGGACCGCACAACAGAGATTCGTTTAAAATTAGATATGAAATGTTAAGTACATTCAGATGTTTTCATATTCAAACAAGCTGCTAACACCTCATTGCAATCACCAAAGACCTAAGAGTGCAATGTCTGACATCAGTTCTCCATTCTCTACTAACATTTATCTCCTTTGCTTTACTGAGATCGACAATATTAAATTAGTGTCAGTAATTCTCCTCCTTTTTCAAATTCTTTCCTTCATCACTGCTGCTTTAAGCTGAAGATGCCATCATGTTGTTCACAAACGTGGAACTAACCTTGTTTGAATCTGCCACCAATTGTTGATTTGGTTGACAAAAGACACTTTCTTCTCTCACATGCCACTGAGATGGAGAATCTACTTTTCTCCTTCCATTCTGCAAGAAAAGTCTGGAAAAGTGTTTTGTCACCTGCTACATCAACAATAGTGAACCCTTCAGCATTTGAGGGAGTGAATGGAAAAACATCCTGAGACAGCTGCAGTGAAAAGTCTTTGTCTATAGTGGAATCATCTCTTATCTCATCAGCCTCAGTTGAGGCTACCATCTCAACTACCTGCTGCTCCGCATCACTCTTGCAATTGTGCTGTGGCAGAACAAGTTGCTCTTCATTCATGCTGGCAACCTGTCTCTTCCTTGCAGAATTCAAAGAGAAAGATACAGAACTTTTTGGAAAAAGTTCTTTGGGGGGTGTTGGAGGAATAAATCCATTACAATTATCTGGTGGAGGACAGGATGTCCTATTGCTTCCCCTGAGCATAAGTGTTACACAGTCTGACCTCTGAATATCCAAGTCTTCTGTTTTGTTTTCTTTAACTTTGCAGTGGTCTTTTAAATCCTGACAATTGGGCAAAGGCTCTAGCTGATGATGTTCAAATTCAAAAATTGCATCTGGCTTTTGATTAGCAATTGAAGCAACTAAATTTCCTTTCAGACAGGAGCTTCTTACATTTACTTGAACAAGTTCAGTGCCTGAAGGACTAGGCCATTTGTCTAATATATCCTGAAGTCCTGGACTCAGTTCAAATGAGTGGTCAGTCCACACTAATGGATGGCTTTTCTTATCTAATATTTGCTGGCTACACTGGAGCTTTTTACCACAATCCACTTCTAAATCCTTTGGATTGGAATCATTTTCACACATCACCATGTTTCTTAATTTAGACTGACCATGAGGTGTACAAGGAAAATCTCCCAAAAAAGCTGGGGAGTTTCCATGATCTAAAACTTCAGCTATGAGATCAGAGAATACTAGAGATGTATCATTATTCTGTACTGGATCCTCATGCTCCCTCTGATTGTCACTGGCATCAGACTTATTCTGAACAGGCCTTAGGTTCTGCAAAAGACCACCTGCAGGAAGCAAAGCTCCCTGCCTCCCCTCAGGTTCCTTTCTGTCAGCTTCCATGACGTTCACAGCTGAGAGATCACTGACATTACTGAAACTATCATCAAACAACAAGCCATCACTTATATTCAGGCTTGTTTCCGTGACAGGATGGTATTCTTCTTCTACAAAGTGCTCCCTATCAAGAGGGCAAGTTGCTTTATTGGGACCTTTAGAAACACTCTCCCCTTTCACTGAATTTTGGGTCTGATAATACTGTAGAAAACTGTTTAGCTGAGAATCAGTCACTGAGTAGTCACTTCCTTTAAGGACAGGTGCAGATTCTATTTCTTTTGCTACAGGCTGTACATTAAGGTCTTCAGACTCCAAAATTTTGTTACTGCAGTGCTGATCTGTGTTTTTTACAACATTATTTGTTGTGATAATACTTGATAAGCCTAGTTTCCTTACTGTTGCATCTAGCCTTTCCCCAGTAGCATTCCCAGACTGCAAAGTGCTTAGTTTCATGGAGATTTCCTGCTGAGGTACTACTGCCAATTCTGAATCCTGTATTCCCTGCTGTCGCGTGATTTCGGCTACTGCCTCCTGTTTTATTATCCTCTCTGTCTGAGTATCCAACTGGAAGCTATCTTCAAAGTCTGTAGAGACACAAATCAAACCAGAGGATGGACAATTCTGAACATCATCTGCATCAAAAATAGCTCTGGATTTTACTAGAGAGTCTTTCATAAAATCCTTAGGATGACTGTAGCTTTTTTGTAGTGCTCCAGCTTGTAACAATTTTCCATTGGGTATTTTGTTCCCATTTATACCACCATTCTGGATCTGAGCATGGTAGAATTTATCACCACCGGGACGAAAGTACACAGACTTCTGTTTCCTATTGTCATCATGGACACATACATTTACAGAGCAGTTAGTGTTTACATTACAATCACCTGCATCTAAAGCAGTATGCTGCTTATCAACCTTCAACTCAGCAGAGCTCACATCTGTTTGCATTTTATTGATTTTATTGTACTTATCAGCAGTAGTTTTATTTCTCTGTATTCTAGCCCTAGAAGGTATTACTTTACTTTCTACCGTATCATGTGTCTCCTTGTTGATGTGTGGAATACTCTGTAGTGTAACAGTTGCCTGAAAACCTGCTCTCTCCATAGGCATGCCTTCATTGGAGTTAGAAAGTTCTGTAAATAAACTCTCCAATTTATCTTTTCTCCCTACATTATTTTCCCTCTTTTGTACAGAATTTGAAACCTTTTGAGTTACAGACACTTTTTCTGGACATTCCTGATTGTTTTGGTCTGAAAATAAGTTATCTTTAGAAATGCTGGAGAGGAAAGCAGATGGTTTTTTAATGTCCATGATAACCATACGTGAATCTTCAAGCAGTGACTTCTGCAGTTTTGAAGAAATGTTTTTGTTCCTACTCCGGTTTAAATGTGTGTCCTCACTTCTTAGCAATCTAGAGGCTGAAGACATTTTTGCTAATGTTGGTGTCTTTCCTTGCTCAGTATGGAGTTCTGGACTTACTTTTTCGGAATCTGCCTTGTTTTTGACCCTAATAATTCCTTCCACATTTTCATTGTCTCTGCTCATATTGGGCCATTTTCTAGCACTGTGTGCAGTATCACCATTTCTTTCATCTGCTTGAGCCTGTTTCTTGTATGTGACTTCACTCTCAAATCTAGAGCATGCTGTACTATTGCTTAGCCGCCCTTTATATCCCTTTTTAATATCTGATAGGTTTCCAGCCTGAGAGCCAAGGCCCTTATGATTCTGAACTCCGCACTCTTTTTCGTTTAACATCACAGAAGATTCAGAAGGTAGCTCTTCAACTGGCTTATGTAGTCTGTCTTCCATCTCTGACTCACTGCTGATCATAGACGATGCCTCAAGAAAAGACTCTGGGTTCCACTGCACTCCCATCGCTGCCAAGTCCTGCTGAAGAAGTTCCCTGGCTTCCTCCACAATGAGGGAAGCAGCTTCACTTTCTGTTAAGCCCTTCATTCCGGCCATCCAGAAGCTGCGCACAGTCCGACGCTCCTCTACTGATTCTTCATCTTCATCCACAGCCCTGCGACCACTAAGGGAAAGGCAACAAAGAGATATGAACATTTATGCAGAAAATAACAAACAACATGAGGAGCTGACCCTATTCTGCTCTGCTCCTACTTCAGTTAGTGCTTCGTGAAGCTATAATGCTATGTCCAAAATGTCTCTTGCTTAATAGGAAGTAACAATTTCAGTTTTCTACTAAATGCCAATGATGTCAATGAAAGATATTACTGACTATGTCTACCGTGCAGAAGAATTCCAAGCTTCTGCATCCAAATACATGCCCCAGATAAGTCCCAGCTCCCTACCAGGGTAAGATCTAGGTCTGAATTGATCCTCTTCAGGAGGATCAATTGAACCTGAATTGAACCTCAGGAGCATGAACAAGAGAGGTATCGTGGCAGAGTCCAGGTACCTGATGTAGGAATTTTGTCATTACACTATCATGAATACCTCAAGAGAATCTGAAATTAAATACAGTAATAAACCATGCGCTCATTTGATCATACGGTAGAGCACGAAAGCATTAACCTTTTAGAGGCAGCAAAAAGCCTCCAAAAACCATTTTCAATTCAGGAAGAGGAAAATTCAGGTCTCACAACCTCTCGCTGCAAATACAACATGTTATTATTAATTTCAAAGTAATCATGTAATTACTGTGATCAGTCACAGAGACTTACAAGTTATTTTTAAGTAACATTTAGCAACAAGTCCCAAAGGTTGTCAAATTTAATTACAGGTTTCATCCTGAAATCCTTCACCTTATAAATGAACTTCTGACTTGACTTCTGGACTTACTGATTTCTCACCTTTTGAATGGTACTGAATTCTTCAGAGCAGTTGCCACATCACCAGGACTGGCTTTAGCAAGTTCAGCAACTGTGACAAAGCCAGCATTGTAAAGCATCCTTGCACGCTGTGCATTCAGCAGAGAGATTCGTACCAGGTCACAAAGCTCCCTGTGAACCCCAAAAGTGAGGCGACTCTGGAACTGGGAGAGCAACACTTCCATGTTGTGCCAACCCAGTCGATTACAGAAAACTGTTACCATGCCTGGAACACAGAAGTTGCATCAGTCTCAACTCCACATCTGAACAGTCATTCTCTTCACATTTCTCTTTCCCAGTACTTACAGAAATGGTCACCTAATTCATGTTTATCACAACATTCTGCTTAGGAACTGCTCTTGCAGAAGTCAACTTTATCTAGAACTAAATAGTTTATAAGTGAGGTAGAAATTCTGAACAACACTGCTTTTTTAAAGATTCTAATTATGAAAGTATGAAATAAAACACATGCATACCCTGTAACAGGATTCCTATAAACCAAACACACTGAAGAAGAGTGGAAAAGCAATGATGAGACGCACTAAGAGAAGCCACTCTGCAGTGACGTCCTTATGAGCAGAACTTGACCTGCTGAATTTCAGTTACTGACAGCACCATAGGAGCTAGCGAAGTTCATTATAAAGATTATAGCTGCAGTCCTCAGAACATGGGAGGAGGAAAAGAGCAGGGAAAAGACAGCTTCTTACTCATAGATTGTATATATAAAAGTATGAAAATAACTGAAAGACACAGCATACCTCACTGCCATATTTTAACAGTAATTATAGAATACAGCTTTTTTATCATCTCTCCTAACTATATGTCATGTCAACAGTTCATTTTACTTTCCAAATTACTCTTGTTCCTGCACTTACCTACTTGATTGCTGAAAAAATGATTAACACTGGAAATAGAGAATTGTGAAACCATTATAACAAGAAGTTATTTATACTATCAGAATTAATTTAAACTACTCAGCATCAGTTGGCGTGACCTTTTCATTTTGGGGCTTTGACTCATGCTGCAACCCACGCACAGGGCTTTGCAAGTTGAGGTAAAACTGTGTTAGAAACTGAAGCTCCATCTACAGAGTAACGAAAGACTTGGCTTAGATAACAGAAAGAAATTCTCTTGATCACATGGTGAGCAGCTACCTCTACTCTTACACAACCCTCTGAAAGAGGTTATGATAAATGTGACCTCTCTGACCTCTTGTTATCTGGTGATAAATGACCTGGAAACTATTCACTATGATTTTAAAACTGTAAAATTATGTTTTATGATCTATTACCTTTGTAACCAGGAAAAAGCCACTCTGTCTCAGATATCCAAAACCTAACCCATTCTGAAATGTTCTTTTTCTGATACGACAAAGATTCAGAATTGACTTGTACGTTTTTCCACACTTAGTATCAAACAAACTATGTTTCTGCACATTACACAGATGATTCCCATAGCCATTAGCATGCTACAGCACTGCTTGATTTCACCCAGCTGGCCCCATTCCCACAGCATGCACCAGAGTTCCATCTTAAAGCAGGGGCAGCCACAGATAAAGCTATAAATTTGGAAGTGGTTTTACAAGACTGGTTGTTGTTATACACTGTGGCTCTTATCTCCTTACCTGGAAGGAAAGAAAATAGACTACCTGAAGTTTCCTGCTGAGTTTTTGCACACAAAACTCACCTGCATAGGTGGCAGCAGACTGCTGTAAGGACTGAAGTTGGCCACGACTACAACCATACTTCTTCGTCATATCTTTTAAGGGAACTTCACTGATCAAATCCAGGAGGGCAAGACTGGTGAAAAATCTAAAGAATAAAAAAAAAAAGGATGCTCAGAAATCATCATCCAGGTCACATTAGAGTACTTTGTGATAGGATAGACAGAGTAGTACTATAGCATAGCACAAAAAAGAAACACAGAAACACAGAAGTTGGCTTCCAAATAATACAACACAAACATCTTGTGGCACTGGGCCCATGGTCTCTGTAGGTATATCTGACCTAACCAGGTCACTCAGCAAGAAAACCACTCCCTGAAAACAAAGAACCTATCAATTCTTCAAGTTACAGACTCCAGTCATTGCACATTCACATCTGTTTGTGGCTACCTTTTGTGGATGGCCATTTGCCTGTACTGTTTTTCTGTTTTAGCTGTAATTTTGCCTTTTACAGAGCGAGCCAGAAAGCCTTCTTCAATCCCCACCAGCTCAGCCACACGCTTCATTGAGGCAGGCAGCTTCTCCCATAAGCAGAAAAACTGATACCAATCAATTGTGGTCCAATCCTCATACACCGGGGTGACCTAAGAAAACAAGATAATGCCAAAAACTATTTCAGAGAAACAGAGCAGCTCTCAGTAAACAAAAATACAGTGTATAGAATTTGGTTGAGGCATCCCACGCATAACTCAGAGGCAGTGAGTCATAACCACGTACCTTGAAGAAAGTGAAAGCTTTTCTAACCTAGTTTTTTAATATTTGTACTGATGAGATATGAGATATGACATGATTCATGTGGGTATTCTAACAGTGAAAGAATTTGGAATTTTTGCCAGATTGCTCCATAAATCTAAGCCACTGTAAGATTTTTTAAGCAGTATTTTTATTCTCCTTTAACAAAAGTGACAGATTATCCATCGGCCTCTTAGAACCACAATAGCTACTGCCATAACACCTGATAAAGCAGTAGGGAACACAGGTTTTGCCAGTACTTATTGAACCTTACCTTTACCCTGAGTACATTAAGTCTCAACTTTTACTTACACTAACAAAATAAGCTATTCAAAGCTTTCACATACTTTTAGACAGAAAAACAATTCTGTTATCGTTCAGTCAGCACAGTCAGTTTGAATATGAGGGTATAACTGGGGCTGTTTAGTCTGTGGAAAAGGAGGCTGAGGGGAGACCTTATTGCTCTCTTCCAGTACCTGAAAGGTGCTTACAGCAAGAGCGAGGCTGGCCTCTTCTCACTGGTGACAGTGGCAGGATGAGGGGAAATGGCCTGAAGTTGCATCAGGGTAAGTTCAGGTTGGATATCAGGAAAAACTTCTTTACAAAAAGGGTTGTTAAGCACTAGAATAGGTTCCCCAGGGAGGTGGTTGAGTCACCATCCCTGAATGTGTTTAAAAACCATTTGGATGTGGTGCTCAGGGACATGATTTAGTGAAAGGTTGCTAGAGTTAGGGTAGTATGGTTAGGTTGTGCTTGGACCCGGTGATCTTTAAGGTCTTTTTCAACCTGAGCAGTTCTATGATTCTATGAGGGAAAAAAAACATCTCCATATCTGTATCAACAAGCTGCAAGAGGAAAACAAGACTTACTAAAGTGGAGACTGTGTTTAGTTGTCTGCTATTAGTTGTCTTTTTTCCATTGTTTTTAAAGAAAACCCTTATCCTAGACTAATATTTTTGTTTTAATTGAATTTTCTAAAATACAACTTGTTTAAATTCATTTTTGTAAAAGTAATAGACTCAAGCCTGAGAAATTGAAAGCATTATCGCGGATAATTCCCCTGCAATTCATAAGAAACATGTAGAGAACAGCACTTCTATTTTTAAAAAAATCTTCAGCCTTGAAAATGAATGAACTCTGCAAGAAAGTGTTTTAGACTGGGTTAATGGAAGCAAATCTCAACAATATTTTGCTTGAAACTGCATTTGATTTAAAATAACATCAGACAATCTGCTGTAACTAGAAAATACAAGATAAAAACCATTTTTTTAATCGAGTCTACTTCAGAACATCAACAGAATTCTTCTTTTTTTCTTTTTCTTGTTTTAGAGGTACAAACAGGGAAAAATTCACTGATACATAGCATAAAGAAGATCACTTTGCCTAGCAGGAATAGAACAAAATATTATGTGGTCTTCTAGAACTACAGAATAATGTGCAAATATGGGAAACTACTAGGTTCAAAATAAATAAATAACTAAATGAATGAATCCATTTCAGTCAGTAACTAGGCTAACAAAGATAGCAAGTAGAGAAAAACATTCCTAACATCCAACCTCCCCTTGATTCCTACTTCAACAACACCTATAATGCCAAGCAGATTCTTCTTGGTGTGAACTCTTTTTTGATTAGTCTGGTAAAGAGAATATATTTACACTTAAGGAGGCTAAAGACATCTGTGAAATCTGGGGTGATGCTTGAATGACAGGCCTCACAGCCATGAATTCTAAGATGTTCACTGCAACTCCTCACTAATCTTGACAGGTTCATGATTTCTTCTCCAAAGGTCTCAAATAGCAGTTTTCAAGTGCATATGCACATAACCCTTGACAAACTCAAAAGATTTAGCACACTCCTTCCTTTAGCCCTGGCGGGATCATCAAGCAAATAAACAAATAAATGAACCCACAAGCGTCCCACTCACAGGACAAAAAAAATCACAGAGTTCTCAGAGATTTTTTGTAGGCAAAGTAGATGCTGAACCCCCCCCAGTGTTTTCTGAGCCTCCAGATTCCAAACACAAATCAAAACCAATTATTTTAGTCATCTTCAAATGTTTCAGAAAAATTACGAGTATTCTACATCCAAACCTTATAAACTTCTGACATCTTTTGAAGTCAAGAGTGACAAAAATAGGCTTATATGGATATGCAGCATCAGCCTACACTATGGAAACAGGTTAGCTCTGAAGGACTTTTCTCCATGAAGTATTACTCAAGCAAGGTAGGGAAAAAAACGTATCCATGGAGCCCTGAATTGTTTTCTCTCATTTCTGTTGATTTTGAAGTAAAAGATACAAAACACAGAATGAAAAACCTACCAGATAGACAATATGCAGATCATTCTCCAAAACAAAGCTTTTCATAGCTCGCTGTAGGTCAGAAAAAATTTCCATTGCTTCCGTTGGTGAAAGAGAAGATGAAAGAGTAGCAGAGCCAAGATGTGTCGGGTGAAAAATCTTTGCTATTAAAAATAAATAAATAATTAACACATAAATACACGTTTAAGTGTAAGTTTATATCTCACATTCATATTGCAATGTGCATGGGTCTCTCCCAAAATAATGCCTCCTATTTATTTTCACGGAAACTGCAACATACGAGATAGAAAGAGCACAATAACATTAGTTGACAGAAAAAATTCTCAGCCACAAAACACTACTTTTACACATACACCACCACTAGCTATGCATTTTTGACAGCAATGAACAAGAGCCTGCATGCCATGCTTTAAAATATCTGCAGTGACAGAGGTGACTCACTGTCACTGTCATCACTGCTGAAACCAGCACCCACTGCCTCACTGTGCTCACATCCAGTCCTTGCTCCCCAGAAACATTCAGCAAGCATTAAGGAATGTCAATGGGTGCTATTTTTTCTGTGTGGAGGAATTCAATGACACACTTTTGCTTCATACACACTTCCATGTCAGTTGACATTTTTCAGACTGCTCCTCTGCTGCCATCTGTCACACGGCAACAGCATGTAATGGAATAATGGTGGGAAGGTTAAATCTCTACTCCTATGTCACCAACATCTATCTCTGCCATCACAGGCCAACATAATAAAATAGGAAGCATTACTTTCAGAGCAGGCATCATATTTTATAGTTTCTATTAATTTTTCCAACTGCTTTTTCAAAAAGAAATGGAGTACCTCTCCACATTGAAGGCAGGAAATTAGAAACAATAAAATAAAGATCTTGTCTAGAGTCTAAGCTAGCTTTTTTTAGAGGCCAGATCACAAGTTTCAATCCCTCTAACTATTGAGATTAACATTTATGATAGCTATTTTAACAAAAAGCATCACAATTCCAGCTGGCACTCTGCCTAGGAGTTAATGGACATCTCTTTCTTGAGAGCATCAAGTATATCATCTCTTCTTAATAAGAAACATACAATCAAATTGTAACATGGATTCTATTATTGTAAAGAGTCTCATGTGAAGTCATCTTAAGAACATCACTCAAAAAAGGAGAAAGTGCAAACTAATGCAACAAACAGTTCTAGTACAGTACTTCACTCTCTCAGAATGTACCAGTTCTTATTCAGAAGAAAATTAAAATTATAGTCTACAGTTCATCTGCACAAATCCTGCAGTACATGTTCACCTTTTTTAAAGACAGCTGAAAAATGTGTAGAGTAGGATGTATCAGTCTTAAGGGTGATATGCAGAGGCCTTCCAAGAACACATGATGCAAAAATGTTTAAGCAGGTATAAACACACTCCCTTGAAAACTAAAATCTCCTTGACACCATTAAAAAAAATAAAGACATGCATCTGACATTTACTCATTTGCAAAAGATACACTGGTTCAAAACTGCTAACTGCAATCACTAGTAAGAAAAAGAATGCAGAACAGCAGTGTTACCTTTCTTGTCACTGGAGCATTCCAGAATCTGAATGAATTCATTCTCCAGCAGCCATGCTATACAAGCTTCAATAGGTCCTTTCTGCACTTTGTCTTGTTCTTTCTCATTTTCTTGTTTGTTCTCTTTCAAGCTGAATGCAAGAAGAGTGCAAGAGGCATAGGTCTGCACATCATCTGGAGTGCTGGCAACTCCACTCACAATGATCTGTTGAAGGAAATGACTTGTTCATCTTGTCAGAGAAATAGCAGGACAGAACATCAGATCTGAGAAAACACTGATCCATCACCCACCCAGATTTTAAAGAGCCATTAAAAGAAAAGAACATGAGGCAAATCAACTGCCAACCTCTAAGAGTATCTCCTGGCAAAAAGTTAGACACTTTATCAAAAAGTAAAAGGACTAAGTTATGGTCAAGGATTAATTATAAGCCCTTATCCTACTATTTTGAAAGAGAACATGAACAGAGTAGCAGTTTAGAATTGAGACTAGATATAGGTATTTTGCTTAGATCATATTGCACTACACATTTATCTATTTATTATTTGTTTTTCACATTACTCTTTTTTCCCTTTGGGTCCCTTACCTGTGTGCATCTTCCTTGAGACAGAAAGGTATTTCACTAAAAGCTCTCTTTCATGACTTCAGAGAATTTATTTCATGTAATAAAGTGCTCCCACCATGAAGGAGGACATCTTAAGATAGTTCTTACGTAGAAAAGTGCACTCAAATTTGGAATGGTCTGGTTAAAATTCTGTAACTATGGAATCACAAACCAATCTCTAAGTACAAAAGCTGCTTTCATAAAAGATAGTAGGAACAGTACAGCAAAGAAAATTACTCTACTTAAAATGTCTAAGTTCAGTTCAAGCCCAAAATCAACTTCGGAAAAGCAAATAAGCTCATCTATGTGAAATAATGAGCATTTGTTCCTTTTTTAATGAAGTTTCAATCATTTCTGTATAAAAGAAACAGATAATTTTAGGGCTTATATGGGAGAATCTTTAAGGATCTACAAATGTTATTTAGCCTTATTCAGTCTACCAAGCCTCAGGAACTGGTAATATACAAGCATTTCCTATTGAAAACTGATAGATTATGTTATTATGTTTGAAGGTTAAGAATTACACACAATTCTGCCTGCAGTTTGAGTATAAATAATGAAAAAGCCAAGACTTAATATCTTGTTGGAGAATTCTTAACATACAAAACAAAATGCTAAATATTGCAGCAAGCTGGCAGATTCAAATAATTTTCTTCTGAAGCTGCTTGGGTTGACAAAGGAAGAAACGAAAGAAAAGGAATGTGCACATAAAATATTTGATGGTGTCACAAAATAAACTGGCAGTGCAGGCAGTGTTCTACTTTCTCTCCATATGTCCTGTACCTCAAGTATTGCTCTTTTCATGCTAGAAGCAACACCTTCCCCTTCTCTTCTAAGCAAACAACTGCAAACAGGCTTGAGAGATCCCTGAAGTAGAGCAGTTCCTTTTGATCTTTCTGATGGCTTGCAAACCAAAATGCTCTCACCTATGAGGGAAGAAAATGATGAGAAGAAAAAAAACCAAAACATTAATGACCTCACTGCATCTCAGTATTGAAATAACTACATACAGGTCACTGAGGACATTACTGGAATGGAAAACTGCAGGCACTTTTGAAAAAGCTGTGTAAAAATGATAAAAACCTTTCTGAGGTTTCAAAGTGTTTATGGCCTTTGCTATTTAAGGACTCCAGAGATGCATAATATTTAAGAATTAAAAGCTCAGAGAAGAACAAATTTCAAACTTTCCTTAGGCAGGCTTTGTCAAATCAGCTTTTACAATCCCCAGGGATGGGGATTCCATACATTCTCTGAGCATCTGCTTCGCTGTTGAACTACTCTTACTTCTTGTTGTGGAATTGGCTGGAACGATGACACACAGTGGCATCATTTTCTTTTTTTTCTGTGTTAAACTGAAAGGATTATTAAGCTGAAAGGATCCTCAAAAGTTAGAATAAAACATACAAGCTGCACATCACTTCAGCAGTTTGTGCTAAGTCAACCAGGTTCCATTCTCAGATATCAAAGAAATTCAGAATTCCTTTGAAGTTATTAATTTAACTATGCATTCTCTTAACTTTCATAAATGTAAATTTGTATGCACACTGATCTATCTATATATGCACATACGTACACAGGCACATAAAATCTTAAGTATCCTGAATGGTTTCCACTGAAAGTACATCTGAATATACCTTACCTAACAACATCTAATAAAGAATTTTGAAGTTAATCCTGAAATTCTACGGAAGACAAAAAACAGGTGAGCTCTGAAACAAAAAATAAGAATAATAAGCTAATGTATTTAGGAGATAATAGTACAGACCACAAGAGGAAAATGCAGTGGTCACATAAAACCAAGGTTTTCTTCAAACAAAACTATTACAGAGAAACTAGGTAACTAGGTCCCTGAGAGACATAGCTTAGCCAATTGTCATAGAATAGATGAATTCTTGTCTCTGACAAAGAAGAGAGCATTAGATTTGGATTAGCTGAGCAACAAACATGTTTTATTATAAGAAGATTTAAGTGCACATAGGCTGAAAACCAAGGTAATTTTGTCAGTTGATATCTTAGTAACATTCTAGGAATGTTAAATTATGGAGGACTATAGCCACAATAATGCTACAGTAATAAGCAAATCCAGAGCGAATGAAAACACAACTGCACAGGCATAAAATAAATACTACAAATGCACTGTAGGTTAAGTAACAATATACAACTAAATATAACTACATAAATGAACCAAAAGATGAAAGACATGCTTAGAGGATGTCTCTTTGGAATTCACTTATCCTGACAGGTGAAACTTTCGACACGTGTTGACCCTGTAACTTTTGCCAGTGTTGAGAGAGGCAATATAACAAACTGCCTGTAAGCATTTTTGTGAAATCATAGCTTATTTTGATTTCAGCAATAAAGAATATCAACTCATTTCATATTTAGGTTCTGATGTGACCTAGAATTCTCTAGGATAACTTTGACACCTCAGCATGATAAATGTAACCAAAAAATGGATATTCACATTATTTGATAGTCACTCAAGATTTTGGTGGAACCCTTTCTCCAAGTGCTACTGTGAACTTGAATCCATTAACTGCAACCCAGTAAATAGTTTGAAAAAATAAAAAAGGAACTGAGCTTTTATAAGATTCCTCACTGAACATTTCAGATGAGAAGCCCAGGCTAGAACCAGATTCAAGAAACACTAGATTACTGGCTAGCCAGGCAGAAAAATACTCAATTAAAAACAGTTCAAGTTGGACATTAGGAAAAAATTCTTCTCTGAAAGAATGGTTAGGCACCAGAACAAGCTGCCCAGGGAGATGGTGGAGTCATCATCCCTGGAGGTGTTCAAGCAACATTTAGATGTTGTGCTAAGGGACATGGTTTAGTGGGGAAATCTTGGTGGTAGGTGGACAGAAAGACCAGATGATGTTGGAGATCTTTTCCTACCTTGGTGACTCAGTGAAAAAAAAGATTGTATTATGTTTTATACATAATAATGTATTCAACGTATCTCTACCTGTATGTGGATAAGAAATAAATGTGTAACCTGGTTTCTAGTTTTGTTTGCCAATAAAACTTCACCAATAACTTCCTGGTTAGATTCTCCCTTCTGATTACTACCCTTCACTGACAGTTCTGGCTGGCAGTGATGAATTTGCTGAGAGAAGCCTAAGGACTATCAAAAGGGACTTCAGAGGATTAGGGTGGTTAGTTCTTGGAGAGGGAGTACAGAGTACAGCATATCCCTTCAGTGGCAAGGAAAGATACTGAGAGGACCAGGAAAACCCATCTGATAAATACATAGTTGAGAGGCTGGTACCACCACAGGAATTTGGGATTTTTCTGAACATGGGGCAGTTCACTCAGCACCTGGTCTGATGACTGCAAATGGGTCTCAAAAAGGGAAAGATCCTAGTCTAGAAGCTAGCAGGGCTCATTGACAAGGCTTTAGGCTAGGTATGATGAGGGAAGGGGATGAAAAAAGGCTCACTAAGAAGTGAGTCTGGGGGAACAATGCCAGGACTGTGGGTGAGGCCAATGGCTCAGCTGAAGTGCATGTACACCAGTGTAGGCAGCATGGGAAACAAACTGGAGGAGCTGGAAACTGTTGTGTGGCAGGCAAACTATGACTTAGTTACCATTACTGAAATATGGTGTGTTTGCACCTGCAAGTGGAGTACTGCATTGAATGGCTATAAGCTCTTCAGAAGGATAGGCAAGGAAGAAGGGGCAATGGCTTGGCTCTCTATGTTAGAGTATATTTCAGTGTTGTAGTGCTTGGGGCTCAGCCTCTATGCGTAAAGATCATGCGGAGGACAAACAAGGCAGACATCCAGGTGGGGGTCTCTTATAGATTGCCTAACCAGGATGGAGAGACAGACAAGGCATTCTACAAGTTCCCGGCAGAAGTTGCGCAATTGCCTGTGGTTGTTCTTATGGGAGACTTCCCTGGAAATACAATACAGCCCAGAGGAATCAGTCTAGGACATACACGTCCAACCCATGACCTGCAAGCTGCAAGCAGCCCAGCTCAGCCTGCAATGCAGCCCACTCACTGGCAGCAGGTCTTCCTGCTGAGCAGGTATCCATCACTCATACCAACCAAATATCAGTGTGCAATCAGCTCTGCCTGGGCTGTAATCAAGACACAGGGACTGCACAGTGCAGTCCATTTTGATACACTGGCTAAACACAGTTCTGTGATCAATTAAGAATACACGGCCTTGCTTCCCATTTTGATTCAGGAATTTGAGAAAAGGCTTCAAGATTGCCAAAACTAGTCAATTTTTGTTTGCAACTCCATTTTCTTCTAACATAAATATTTTACCTGTAAGTTTTAAATGGAATGCATAGAGCTGCAATCAAATATTCAACTCAAACATTTGATCATATCTTTTTCCAGACTTTTGTAAGCCCTACATTACCAGAGAAAAATATCCCTCAGTTCACAATCACAACTTAGTCATGTCACTGCTTTTTGGTGGTGCATACATTTGTGAACATCTGTCAAAGGGAAAAGTACAGGAAGAGTAAAATTTCAGCAAAAATCGCCGATTAATACCTTTGAACTCACTAAGAACTGCAATAACTGCCATCAGATTGGAACAGGCAGTCCAAGGAAGTGTTGGAGTCACTGTCTCTGGAGGTGTTTAAATAAAGGGTTGACGTAGTACTTAGGGACACCATGGTTTAGTGTCCAATATTGGTGGTAGGTGGACAGTTGGACTAGATGATCACATAGTTCTTTTCCAACCTTCATGATTCTATGATTCTATAATAATGAACATATTTACTTATTTCACTTTAGGAATATGACACTTGATGAATGCAAAAATAACCCCATTTCAATTTCTAAAATAATGTTTTTAAATTTGCATCCAATCACGTTATATTTTCAGCATGGAATTGTTTTCTTCAGAATATGTGGTATGATGTTATGTTTTGCTTCTAGGAGAAAAACAATGTTGATAAACACACCGGTGTTCATAGTTACTGCTAAGCAGTGTTGTACAAGAGCCAAGGCCATTCTCAGCGAAGGGCCCAAGGAGCTGGAAGGAAACAGATGTAGGACAGCTGAGTTAAGAGATATTCCATACTATATGACATCAAGTAGGAGTTTAGAAGGAGGTGGGAGTTTATTTTGCTCTTCCATTGCTTAGGGGGCTAGCTCGTCAGGAGGTGGTGAGCAATTGCTTTGTTATATACATATATAAATATGTATGTTATTAATCATTATCCTTTTCTCTAGCTTAGTAAATAATTTTATCTCAACTCATGAATTCTACTTCTTTTTTTTTTTTTTGGTTCTCTCTCTAATCCCACTGGGAAGGTGGGGAGTGAGCAAACGACTGTGTGGTGCTCAGCCACCTGCCAGGTTAAAGCACAACATCAGAGAAAAAAAAATCTCTGAGACAATTCAATACTAATATGTTTGGGAGAGGGGGACCTTCATCCCAGCAGAAATTATCTTCTGTCTGTCAGAAGAATTCTTATCCACATATGGCACTTTTTTCCAGCTGAAGTTGCTGTCTTCCAGTCTTCTTATTCAGTGGAAGAGTAACAGCTGGTAATGTAGCTTTATGTTCTCATTCAAAACACCACATGAAATGGGAAAAAATGGTACATTCATGAAGCTCATCATCATAATATCAGCTGCTTACTGTGCAAAACAGTCACACCAGAACCGTCAAAAAAGGATACTAATTATTGTAACTTGAAGGGAAAAAAAAATAATGTAATTTTACACCTGCCAGCTATTTTCAAATGACAAAGTCTGGAAAATTTCAAAATACAACATGCAGCTGCCTTTTTCTTCAATATAAAGAGATAGCTGATTGAGAAATAGGTCACAAAATGCCATGTTGCCATGCCACGTTAGCAAAAATAGAAAGTTAAATATAAGAACTGTTTGCTTACACAGAGCTCCAGCAAGCACCAATCAACTCATCAGCAGGGCAAATCTCACTTTCTTCTTCTGCTGAACTTCATATTTCAGCATGAGTTTATGCTGAACTGGGTTTATATTCATATAATGCATTTTTTTTTTCAACTGGCATCCAGAAAAAAGTTTCCACCACAAATTAAAATAGCAGGCAGGATTATTTTGTTGAGCTTAGTTTCACTGTTTTCACAAAGACAATACCTTATCTATGAACAACTGTTCAAATTTCCCTATCTCTATGTTGCATCACTACTTTCAACATCCACAAAAATTATGTTTAGAGGAAGTTTAATAAACTCAAATCAGAACTTCAGACAACAAGAGCGGTTGTGGACTTCCTTAAATTTTAGACATGCCTATTAGCAGTTTACTTTAAATTTTCTCACTGAAAATGTTTTAGTGAACTGACCGTGTAATTTCAGAATTAAGACAAACGAACAGAGCTTTAGAAGGTAACAAGAATTCAAAGAAGAAAATACTCCATTCTTAGAATAACTGACATGTAAATACCAAAGTCAACCTCATGCAGTGAAAAGAGTCCTCTGGGAATTACATTTTTACTGCATTAATACCAAACAAATTCATCTTGATTAACTTAATCGTACTGAATAGCAAAGAAATTCATCACGATTAGCCACTAATTGCGAAGCACTGCCCTGGATTTAATCAGGTTAACACTGTTCTTAGAGAATGTTAATAAAGCCTCTGCTTACCCTCTGTGTCTACTCCTTTCCTGCCAGCCCTTCCAGCCATCTGTTTATAAGTGAGAACATCCAGCAGTGTGCCACCAAACATAGGAGTTCGTATAATTACTCTGCGTGCAGGCAAATTCACTCCAGAGGAGAGTGTGGATGTTGCTGCTAGAACTCTAATCATGCCTCGGCGAAAGGCTCCTTCAATGATGTCCCGTTCATCAAATGTAAGACCTGAAAAAGGATGATGTTTTGCAAACCCAGTAATGTAGGAATCGGATTAAAGAGCTAATGTTATTAGTCAAACAAAAGGAAGAACAAACAAACTCAATGAACATTTGCCATTCATTGTTAGAAACAAGAAATGCAACACTACCTCAGTTAATTTGTTTCATAACATAACTGAAAGAAAATTTCCACAAAGGTTTCTTTGTGGAATAGTTAATTAACAAAAATAGTTATAAACTAGCTTTCCTAAGGTATTTGTACAGATTGTAGCAAGATGAACAATTTACTACATGTTTACATGTGTTGCAAGAAAATAAATTAGGAAAATAAATAAGGAAATGCAATGAAAAGAAGGAAAGTGGCTATAACACACATCAAGAAATTAGGATTCAGACATTTGCTGGAATCCTGCATCCTGTAATCCTTCATCATTATTTCCATTCTAAGTTACAGGTCTAATTTGCATCTTTCTACATTTCCTTGAGAGTTTTGGTCCAAGTTTATTCTTCAGAAGAAAAAAATTCACACTCCATAAGCATTTGGAGTTATGTCCCCTGTATATTCAATGCCATAAATACTCTTCTATCTTCCGCAGTTGATTCTTTCTCTCAGTAAATTGGCAGGTTACATGCACTCTTAAAGGTAAGAAATAAAAGATCCTGCCAGAAGTCTTGGTGGCACTCTCATTTTATTTTGATTTTCATAGTTAAACTTCTTCTATTTACTCATCTATTTCATTACTAAGTTGAGAAAAATTGCTCTGAAATACCATAGCAGCTTTAGAAAGAATCTGGAAATCTGTGGGCTGCAAATTGGTTAATTTTTCAGATATTCCATATAAATTTTTATGTTGCATCTAGAAAGTTGCTGTTAATTAACACAGCAGAGAAGAAATTTATCATAACAATTAGTGAGTTAAGTCTTTGTTCACAATAAAGGAATTTCAAGTTTACCCCTTACTGTATGTTAAGTCATAAGCTACAGAAAGCTAAAAAAAAAGAAACTGGTAAACTGCTGGTAACTACAGCAGTAAGAACGCATATGACTAGACCTTTACAGAACTCAAGACCTAGATATTTAAAAATACCTGCATGATGAAATGCCACTCCCCATGGTAAGGTACGTTGGAGCACAGAGTCCAGACCAGAGAGAGAGCGCCTTAGCTGATCCAGGACCTCATCTATACCTTCTCTGTCCACAGCAACTGGGGAAAGGGATGAGTTTTTTGAAGAACCTTGAGAGAGGAAATGTATTTAAGAAATATTTTTCTACTAAAATTAACTTACACTAAAGTTACTACAAATGCTACTACAGTCCTCTATTAAATACTTTTCTCTTACTTTCCGCCTGTTGCAAACTGTAGAATTCCCTGGCAATGGTGTCTGCCAGCTTCTCACACCAATTCTTGGATGGACAGAAAAGCAGGACTGAATGGCCATCACAAACAGTCTCGTAGCACAGGCTCACAACATGGTCTTCATCTCCCTGAATTGAGATAAAATATTTTCAGCTCACTCTGATATTGTGTGGGGTCTGTAAATGCTGTCACTGCTCAGCGTTACAGTAGGAATCTTCCATGAAAAACTGGAAAGAGGAGCAAAGAGGAAGGAGCACTGCCATCTTAGTTTCTGTTTTGTTTTAGGAAGTCTAGGCTCTAGAATGATTATATTGCTGATGATAACCCTAGACCCAACCATAAATAAATCTAAGGCTTTACATCTTGCTTTCATAAATTCATTTCTGATCAAAGGCCACACAGTGCACAGAAAGTCACTGCAACCACCACGTCACAGTTAACATCAGTGGGAAAGAAAAGGTGCAGATAACACAGGGATGTATTTTATGCTGTCATCCATAAGGATAGGAGACAGCCTGGTTTGCACACCAAACAACTTAAAGGTACTACCATTCTACTTCCCTGAGGACTTCTAAGGCCAACGGAAAGAAAAAAGCTCTGCCAGACAAGACTGCTTTAAACTTCAAAAGAGTTCTGAGGGAAAACATCGCTCCACTGTAACAAAGAAAGAAGACTTAACAGTTGAACTAAAAGCATGAAGCGTAGTAATCTGAGCATGCCCAAAAAGATGCATGCTGTAAGTGCTGTTGACCAAAGAATGTGGGTATATACATGGATGTGCACAGAAAACCCTACTGTTCACAGCCTGCCTTTTTGATCACAAGACTGCAGGAGAATTCCTGCAACAAACTGCTTGGCTAAGCCAGGTTGCTTTCCAGAAAACAGGACATTGGAGAAAAAAGTAGGAGTAAAGAAAGAAATAAAAAGCACTGAAATGTAAATGAAAATAGGGGAGCAAAGGCAAAAACTGTACATAAATGTCAGAAGTTCAATAAAGATTCATTTGAACTTAGCAGAAGTGGTGAGGTCATCAAATATTGTCCTATGCCTCAAAGTAGGCTTGGACGGGCAAGTTTGAAGGTCCAGCACCCAAGAGCCTGGTCTTATGAAAGAAGCTAACTCCCATGAAGTGTTGAGTCACAAGCCTCAGTTAGTCCTTTCCTCAATTTAGGACCCATCAAAAACAAGTAAATCAAAAATTATCTAAGAGATGGAAATGTAACATCACATTCTCAGTACAAACATATAAAAATAAGGTTCCAGATACTCTTGTCAGAAACACTTTATTTACTTTTTCTTTTTTGAAGACCCACCATGCTACTGGTGCTTGCACACAAGAAGGTGTTTCAAGACATTGCTGACATTTAGCCCACCTTGTCCAACTGCCCCACTAGTATTTACACACAGCAGCTCAAAGGACTGGGAAGAGAATTCACAGTTCAAATCTACAAGTAGGAAAGGCACATTTCTCATCCATTTTGTTCTTCCAAATCATTATACTCATTATCCATAACTTTTTTTTTTTCAGTGCAGAGAAATAGTAAATACTAAAAATAGATTCAGAAGAATTAGAGTGTACATCCACCTTATAATCATTGACAAAATTAGATCATTCAGCAGCTTAACATAAGCAGGTAAAATATTTAAAGAAAATACATTTTTCCATTGATTAATGCAAATTTGTTGGGATAACTAGGAAATCTTTGTCTATGAAAATTAATTAATTAATTCCAGGACACAAGATAGAGGAATGGCTAAGAGGAAGAACCAAGCTTGTTGTATCTATCAAGTGTTTAGAGATAAGATCTAACTGCTTCAAATCTAACTTCTGTAAGTCAGATTCAAAAAACTTCAAGAAGTTCATGACTATTTGTTTGGATAATCAGTAACGGACAAAAATGTAATAAATTTTTCCCTTCGTGTAGGCGTACAATCTATAAAATAAACAACAAAGTTGGGAATATCACCTGTTCAAAAAAATTAAAAACATACCAATAGCTGTCTTTTTAACTTTAGCTATAGAAAAAGTCCTATGCCATAAGCCACTCATTGGAGTTTTTTACCTTCAGTTGAAGTTTGGGCTGGAATTCTCGCACCAAATTCATGGAAGAGTCGTAAATGTTGTTGCCAATTTTCACCCACTCCTTGAGGGGCACAGGGCGAAAATCTGTACAGTACAATTCCGCATCTAACCATGAGGCTAGGAGTCCCAAGTTAGGGAGGGTAGCACTCATGCCTACTACCTGTATTCCTCCAAAACCAGGACTCGTCATCTTTGCCTTTCTGGAAGCAGTTAAAGAAATTGAAAGTTAGTTACAAGACAAGCTACTCTTCTGGAAAACAACATTCAGAAAAAAAATGAACCCTATTTCCTTCAAGTACAAAGCTATTTTTATAAGCTTCTTGAAAAAGATAGAAGTCATACTATGCTCTTAACAAACACACTGAAAAGATAGGCATTCAATACTTTTTATCACTTTGAATCTAAACTTTATGCTTCTTTAAACTGCATATTTGGAGAAACTGAAAATAAACAAACCAACTATTTCCTTACAATTAACAAGAGCACTGAAATAAGTGAAGCCCAATCTCCACTGCAGTCTTTCTACACTTAAATGTCTTAATTAAAATACTTCAATTTGTTTTGATTTCAGGACAAATAACACTAGACTAAGGTATTCCTCGAGTTTGGAACCAAAGCCCTTAGTTCAGCAAAGAAGAAAGCAGCTTCAGTTCTCAAAGTGTCGATCAATAGCTTCCACTGAAGTCAGTGGGAAGTAATGAATCCATAACAGACATGAAAACACAAACTATTAATTTAGATACCCAAATGTATATTGTAATTCAGGCTTTTAGACCCACATGACAGCTCTGTGGGCTTTTTTTATGCTTCCGAGCCTACATTTTAAATCTACTTGTTTATACTGTCCATCTACAATATTAGTAACAAATTGAGGCTTTAAAAACTAAAAATGTCTGATAAGTCAGTGTGAGCTCAGAGATGGCCTGAACCTGGTAACCCTGGAAGAGGCAAGATAAAGGAAACAAGACTACGCAAGAACAAGAGTAAAAAAGCAAGACAGAAATAAGGAAGACGTGGAGAAAAAGACTCTCATCCAAGCTCTTCTAGCATTTGCTAGAACACCACATAAGTTGTCTATTTTTCCTCCAGAGCAACTTTTGACCATAAAGGATTTTAAAAAAAAAATCCAGTTCCAAGGCATTCTTTTTGACTGGCAAGAGAGAGAAATCCACTGCAGAAATTTGTTTTGCAAAAGCTTTGCTAAGGAGCTACAGCACTGATACTGACAGTAACCATCAGAGAACTTTTTTTTTGGTGCAAAGACACAGATTCATACTTCAGTGGGACATCCAATTAACCATTTAAGAAGCTCGTAAAAGCATTCTGATAATAGGTCAGGCTGGACTGTGTTTAAAAACTTTGAACAAATGGGCTCCCATTAAAAACTAAAAGTACAAAAATAAAACAAATGGAGAAAGGTTGCATCCTTCCAGACAGCAAGTGGCATGAAGGACCACTGTCTACTTGGCTATGACAGAGATGAAGAATCTGGGCCTCAGTGTCTATATGGCAAAGGCTGAAGTATTGTGTCTTCCTAAGAACATTTCTTGATGTATCTGTCTTTTTTTTCCTGAAGATGTTTTCTCCTTCTCAGTTATTCAATGCAAGGGAGGAAATCGAGAGTAGTCTTGTATCTATCCTGCACGTGCAAGACAAGACAAGGGAAATAAAGTGTCAAAGCCACTCATGCTGATCTTAAGTATAGTGGACTCCAGAATAAGAAAAATGTCAGAAATGCTTCAATCCGAGGCACTGCTGGATCCTGGAAATTAGCAAGGGAAATGCTGTCTAGATGATCCAGCTGTGTGCCAGGTGTCAAAAAAACAGCTACTCTAGAACTAATGAGGTACTGTAGGCTTACTCTAGAACTAGTATGACTCACAAGACAGGAAGCAGCTGTGAAAATCTGGCAAAATCTGAGTTTCAGTGTGCAGTGTGCACTTTATTTTAATTCTTCTGTCAGCTTAACTAGTAAAGATTAAGAAGTTGCATACAATGGTTTTTCCATTTGCCTTTGTCTAGGAAAAATATTACAAGGAAACCTAAGTCAGTTTTGTTATTTTGTGGTTTGGATTGTTTTGTTGTTTGTTTGTTCATTTGTTTGTTTAAATAAACAGGATAAAAAAAGTAAAGGAAAGCTTCACCTTCTTTCTTTTCCTGAGAGAATGACTCCCACTGTAGCACACAAATTAAAAACCATGAGGAAAAGAAGTTTTGTCTACAAGAGCAGGACCTTGGAGAGCTAACATGATGAGATCTTAATAACCAAAATAGTCTAAGTCATGTAAAAGCCGTGGAGCTAAACCAAATTTCCAATTACTCAGAGAACAAAATATTTAAGCCACCCGTAATTTATCATTATAAGGCAAATATCCTGGTCTACCCACCTTTTTGCAGCTTTCTCTGTAATGTATCGAACTTTGGTCAGAAGGAGTTCCAACAGATATCCTCGATGAGAGTCTCCAAGCATATGCAACTCATCCACAACCACCACTCCTAATAAAGAGAAGCACTCAGGTTATAACTAATAAACATCCAAACTATCAAAAGCTTCAATCCTTTCATATTTCACATGATTAACTGAAATTCCATAGCGTTTGAAAGATGGGTAAAAATACTGGAATAAATATTGTCTGAGAAGCTTTCTGAGTATCAGCATCCGGAGATAACACGGCAGATTAGGGTCTCCTAATCTGGGGTAAAATCACAGAATCACTACATCTCAGCCACACAGCACACCTTCTGCATACATCCCAACTTGCCAGTTTGCTCCTTTTCTAAGTAGCCAGCAGTGCCACAGGAACATGGGAAAGGCTGAAGAAAGGTTGGGCAGGTTTTTTACTGTTGATCTTTGTTTATTTTTAAAAGGGACAGATCATACAGGACCTCAGGCTTTATTAGTTCTACCACTATGGAACTTTTCCTCTGTGGCAGAGCTATGTAATATCTTCCTGGTACAACTATAATAGCAGGAGCTAAAGGGCAAATGTGACCTTATATTATCTACTTCAATGCTATTTTTCTTCTCATTATTTTCTCCTTCCTACATAAGTTCCTTCTTGCTCTGTCTGTTTTTTCCTCCTTTTCCTTTCAAGCCACTTAAGTTATAAGAGCACTGCAGTCATTTTTACAAAATCCCACCCAGGCAGCCCCTCTGTCTTCCTCTACTTCCTCTGTTTGGTGCTTGCTTGTAAAATTCCTGACTCATTGGTCAAAAAATGGACAATTAGTCAGGTACCAAAAAAAATGTCCTTGCTTTCCCATACAGCAGTCCAACTAAATTCTTCCAGCAATTCAGACAGGACAGCATAATAAGTTATCTACCAAAGCAAAATTCATGCAAGCTTTGTGTCTAAAAGCAGCACTTTTTGCTTCCTAAAACAAAATATAGGACACTAGTGAACAAAATCAATAGGACAAAACACAGGCCGTGTCACTATTTTTTTACACAGTTCTATGCCTTCTATTGCTATTTAGCTATAAAAAAAAAAAAAAAACATTCAAACCCATGCTGAAGCTGTGTTGTATGCTACAATAGCAGTGTCTATGCTGGTGAGACCTGACTGTCACACACACATGGTTCCTCTCTCTGAGCAGTACTCAGAATGCACTCACAGGGATGACATAGCAGGAGCTATCACATAAATGGTATTTTTCACTAGGTTGTTCTCAGCTTAAAATGGAACTGCAGTCAAGGAAAACTACATCTCCCAGCATTCTATGACATTTTATACTCAGCAATAAGCTCAGGAGTGCAAACAGGGCCATAATTTCATCATTCTGCACTGCTACTGAAATGAGACTACCCACATTTTCTGCTTTCTGCCTGCAAATTCGGTGCCCCTAGAAGATTGCTGATCAAAAAAAAGACTAGAAGTACCTGAGAAATCTCATACAGCATTATTCTACAATAACTAGACTACTTCAGGCCCAAATTCAGTTCAAAGTTCTTGATGACAGGCAGGATTTGATTTTCTTTTTCCATTCAAATAGAAAGAAGCTAGAGTTTTTTTAATCTCAAATTTAAATTCAGAAACAACTTTGGTAACACAACTGCACATTACAAATGCACTCCCAGATTCTTCTCCATTCTGCTCTCCTAAAAACATCTTTAGCATCAGTACCAAGAGTCTGAACACAAGAAGAACATCATTTCCTGTGTATCTAGATTTCTAAAACTGCCACACATTGTACAGTAATTATCAACATGAAAATGCTTTTAACTGCTTCATACAGCAAAGAGAGCTCTGCCAAGCAGGGAATTTGAATTTCTCTCAACAGCTTCCAAAGGCACTGTGAGCTATCAGCAGGGGGCTGACATCAACAAAAGGAACAGTTTGAGCTGAAGATGGAATCTGGCCAGAACTGCAGTCATCTCTCAATAACACATCTCAAAGATAAAACACCCTTGTTATGAAGCAGTCTAAATTTAGAATTAATTAGAAGGCATCATGCAACCTTGCAGTATTAGACAAGCTTACTTTAGGTGATAGTTAAAAAGGCATTTTCAGCTCATGCCTGTACTTTGCAATTTTTATGAAGATGTATCTCCAAATAGAAAAAGATGTTGATTTGTTAAAGATTATTTTTTAAACTAAATTTTAATTCAAAAATGGCTTTCAAGTAAATACAGAAAGAAAAAACATTCTTATTTCAGGTGTATGGTCATGCTGGGAAGCAAGGGAAACAAAGGGTTGCAGCAGAGGTGTTACCAAATGGTGAAAGAAAAATATCACACTTTAGAGCTATTAGTGCTGGGGACAGTATTGAAACTCAGATTTAGCATTCACTTCTCTGGTTATACTGCTTTATGAGAAGAATGTGCCTGAAAAGAGTCATATAAATCCTGGTACTTGGGAGTATATGACTCTTCTCATGCGCATTCTTCTTACAGAGCACCAAAAATTGTGGTGATGGAATGGAGGTGCCAACAAAAGGAACGTGGCATGTCTCCAGCTTCTGAAAGATGCTAGCATTAAACAATACATTTTAGAGTACCCTGGTTATGCTTACAAAGCACACAAGCCAACATAAATAAGGATGTTAGAACCACACTTTTTGCCTCGTGCAGGTAGTGCATCTTGGAAAACATGGTGACCTATCGCCAAATGAACCCTATTTAAAACAAACAAACAAAATCCTTAACTAAGTAGCACACTTTGAGCCATATATTAAAATCAATAACTGCATGATTATCAGTTCTCTTGCTAGGGAAGGGATGAAGACATGCATTTGAGAACTGAGTCAGATTGCAGCAGCTTCAATTCAAATGATTTAAAAATGCAGCACAGCCATGGTTACCAATTCATATTCCAGTCTACTGGCAGTGTAAAGAGTTCACAGTGATCCAGGCCCTGTAGTCCTGGTATGAATGTGCTATCTCATAATCTCATACTCCTACAAAATCTGAAAGGCTTTCTTTCCCTTACTGTCTGTTGTGTTTAAAAACTATTCTGAAGAATATTAGGATGCCAGATGAACATGGAACAGCAATTTTTTAAGTGGAAGTGTCATATCAGCTTGGTAGTCATTTATTTTTCCTGTTTTTGTATTTCAGAAATAGTAGCCCACTATGTTACAGGTCAGAGCAAAAATGGGAGGGAGTATTGTATAAAATATAACTAGGTATAGTTTTACTGACAGACAAGCAAATAGAAGAACAAATTTCTAATTGGTCTAGGAAAACACATCTCTCTCCAAGTGCACATATGGTTCTTCCAGGTTTTATATCTCCTCCCAAGCATTAAATGAGTACCAACATTATCTAGTGGCTGTCAGGGCCATGGTGACCCAGAAGTCCATGCTACAAAGACAGAGAGATTTTGAGTATACTACAAGAGAGAAATGATTGTCTCACAGCCCTTCTAGTCACCATGCCTACCCAGAGGATCTCTACGTATTCAATATTTAGAATCCAGTGAGCAATTAACTTAATTCCTCCTCTTTCTCAAACTAACTGAAGATATACCATTGATGGCATATGTACATCCTTGTCCCAAACAAAGAAAAAGTTATTGGACTGAAATTTCAGAATTTTAACTCAACTTCACACTTTCTAGCTATGAGAATCACTGGTTATTGCAAATGATTCCTATCCACAGACTGTCTTTCATAGCAGACAAAATAAAGCTGCAGTTCTACCAATACACTCTCCTGCAACTGGGCTACATAGAATAACCCAGACTGGATTCCTAAATCCAAATCAGAAATGCTCTGAAAGAAGAAAAGTGCTTAGATTTCCTGTACATCATGCCTGTCAGACAGGGAACTGAGTAAACACAAACTATCACATGAATTTACATGTACTCAGATTATGTAAAAAAATCTCATCCCCTCGGCAGTCAGGCCTTAGCATTTTACCCAGTGAGTCCATTTGGTTTTCTTCTATTAGCCTATTGATTAGACCATTGGCTTTCTCAATGGTGCAGACAGCAACATCCAGCGAGGAGAAACGTCCAGCAGGAGAGATGCTTCCCATGTAGCCTTCAACTCTCACATCCACCTCCTGAAATAGGGCCTGTTTTCCAAAGGATACAGAATGTTGTGCCAAGGTTATAAATCTGAATTCTGACTGACACTTGCTGAAATTACTTAAAGTCTATGCATGCTACAGCCATGATTCGTAACACTTTTAATGCCAACAAATCAAATTAAAACCATAACTCTGACAGTTACTGCTCCTTATCCCACACTCCACTGTCATTTGTATTTATTCCCAAAGCAGAAGCCAAACAGTACATACTACAAGATAATGTAAACATAACTGAGATGGAGAACACTTCTTCATATAAAAGAGTAACTTACTATTAAGGAAGTTAGAGAGCACACAGTACAACAGTTTATAATAGCAGTTGTACAGAGAAGCCTCACTCTAGAAAAAAATATGAAGCAAAAGCCAAATGTTGGGCCTCAAATATAGAAACATCACATCTCTCAGCTGAAAGTCAAGGAACAGTGACTTCTTTTCTTCCAAGGCACATCACTGTAATAACAAACCTTTGGCATACTACGCATAGTATTAACAAAAGATACAAATATTTTGAAGCAGATGAGTAGAGTATCTTATGATTTCAAGTGTGCAGCTAAAACCAAACCATTGGCCCGAAGAAGCAGAATATGATATTGATAATTCTCCAGCTTTACAAGATTAAAGAAATAGCATTTTTCCATTATCAGTCTCTACAGAGTAGCTTTTGCACTCAGCTGGTACCTTTCCCCCATAAAAGTATCATTCTATCTACACATTCTTTCTGAAACAATTCTGGAATACTTTTTTTCCCTCAAATCCATGAAAATCATTTATTTAATAAACATGACTCAACAGCTATAAGCCATACAATCACTATCCTTGCATGCTACTCACCTGCAGATAGAATTTCTTCTCTTTGGCCACAGAGACAAAGGGAAGGATGAAAAGAGCTTTCTTACGAGTCTCTAAGACTCGCTTCAAAATGAGCAATTCTGCAACAAGAGTCTTTCCAGCACTGGTAGGAGCTGAAAATAAATGTATTTTTTAATTAATTTTTAAAGTAATAGAAAAAAAAAATCAAAGAAACAAGCATCTTAAAACTAGCACAGAAAACAATAGGAAGCCTGGGGCAAGACTCTTCAATTTTCTTCCCTACAACTGCTTTTGCAGTTAATCCTACTAATGGGTCGAGAGGTCTGCAGACAATTTATCTTCTAGTGTCTTTCACTCTGCTTTCACCAATGCTTGTGCTCTCATTTCTGCTCTGGAAGCAACACCAGCTTAGAAAAGCAAGTGAGGCAGAAGAAATGAAAAAAGCACTACAGTCTCTTGGTTGGAAAGGAGAGCTTAGCCACCTCCTCACTGACCTAGCCCCAACATCTTCTGGAGCCAAGTAATAAAACTCAGAATACAATACAATAATACAGAATAAAATACAAGCCTCAGAAAAATCATTCTACCCCTCCTCTAAGCTGATCCTAGTGCTGATCTGGGACCAATTTGGAGTAGACATCCCAAATTGTGATTTCCTATGGATTTCTAGCCCACCCATCCTACCTCCTCTTCTACGCCATGCACCCCAACTACATTAAGAAAAGTGAAGGAGGTATTGAAGGAATGAGATAGTAAATAAAAAAGTTCAGGAGTATTTAAATCTGACATTGCTGGTATCATTCAGTTCCTGGTTGCCCAGTCCATAACAAAAGAGAGTGTGGACTTCAAATTATCAGTTTCTAAAGGAACTGTAATAGAGAAAATGGAAAATTACTCTCCACATCTGAAATGTGACTGACCACCAAGCCATGTACTTTCTACAGCAACAGGACAGAAAAGTAAATTTTCTCTTAAGGGGGTCTCTCCAGAATAAAGAGGATGTTGACCTTTTAATCTGCCAGTTCAGCAACACTCTGCAGCAGCATGTTCTTGTGAATGGCACTGGGAAAATTAGGGGGCTTAGTTCTGCTATGTTTGCATACCTGAGTAAACCAGGTTCTTCCCTTCCAGAACTTGTCCGAGCATTAGGCACTCTGCTTGCCATTCAAACATCTGTACTACTCCCAGACTGTGATATTTCTCCAAGACTGCCTTAGGAAGACCCCAGCTTGCAAGGAGCAATTTGTCTGCTTGATCTTCAGGAACATTTACCTGCTGATATTGCCCTTTGGAAGGAAAACAAAAACAAAAACAGAAACAGTACTACTCTTGAACATGAGGTCACTTAGGTAATATAGCTAAAGGTCAAACTTCTTTACAGCCTCGTTATTATGGGGAAAAGGTAACAAAACATTAACTTGCCTACATTCTTCAATATTTCCCATGCATATTTTATCATTCTTCTCATCTCCTGACATCATTCTCCTCCAATTAGGTTTTCTACATACAGATAATTTCTTCACCAAACTCTCACTCTGATATTTGCTTTTGAGACACAGTAACCATGACCAAATACAGACTGGAGCAGAATTTCAGCACTGATTAGCTTAGCAGCATTACAATGTATTTGCCATCTTACCCTTACTCAGACCATTTCCTTTTTAGATTAGCACCACAGAGCCCTCAGTAGTTCTCGCAGATTACAGAACTGCCCAGGCTCTTTCTCACTTCATAGAAAAATCTAAATAATGTAAAATAAAAAGGCAGCTCAAGCTACTCTGCACAGTTACGTCTGTTTTTCAACAGTGATTAGTATCTTCACCACACTGCCAGCTCCTCTAGTTTAATTAAGTTCTTTGCTTCTCATTTCTTGTCTAGATAATTTTGTGCTGGCTACAGATACTGCCTCCTCTGTGGTTCTCTCTTTTTCCTAATCATTAAGGAAACTCAAACCTTTTGTCCCTTTCCTCATCTGAGACAGAAAACAGATTTCTGATCCACAGTAATGCCTTCCATGTCTACTTAGTTCCCATAGCAGCACTTTGTGAAAGACCTCATCAAATCCGTATGAAAAACAAGTAATTGTGTGTAATGACACTATTGCACCCATTCTTTCAACACCGTATTAAAAAAAATAATAATCTAAAAAGGGTTTAACACTGTTGTAACAGCATAAGGGCAAACACAATCAGGAAAATACAGGCTGCTTATGCATGCTAGTATTTACAGACACAAACAAAAACTGCAGCTACTTTTGTAGGTTAACTCCAATCTAGCTATCAATGGTGCACAACCATTCTCCCCTACACAATTACATTAAAAGGCTGTTACATCTTAGATCTGAAATAGTTGTTTCACTGTTTATGAGCTAGGCACTATGAAATACTAAATAAAACGTTCAGCATATCCAGAGTGAACAACAGTGTGTTACAAGCAGAACATGGGGCATTTAGAAGTGGCCAGATTTCTCTACCCTAAAATGTCACTAGTATGGCAGAATTAGGGTTCATAATAACTTCAAAACAAAACAAATAGATGTATAATTGGATCTCAAGCTTCTCTCCTAATGCTAAAACCAACAAGCTGCCTATGAAAGGCTGCACAGGTAAGGGATGACATGACTCTAGTGTTGGAAGAATTCCTTTAGATCAACACTGAATGCAAGTTTGAAAACTTGTGCCTTAGGAAGCTTCAAATTTAAAGTGTATGTAAGTATAATACTGCATCAACCTTTTTTTACCTACTAGAAAAATGCTAAGAGAGAATGAAAAGCAGGATGATGCATGTTGTTGGGTTAGAGCACTGGGATTTAGTTGTGTCTAAAAGAAAGGTTGAATGTCAGGAAAAAGTCTGTCACCCTGGAACAGGCTGCCGAGAGCACTGGGCATGGCTCTAACCTGCTGGAGCTCAAGGAGCTTTTGGACACTGCTCTCAGTCACAGTTTGAATTTTGGGTATTTCTGCACGGAGCTGGGAGTTGGACTTGATCCTTGTGGGTCCCTTCTTACTTGGGATGTTTTGTGATTTTATAATTCTAAAATGTGTGCAGCATTTGGGCTCTGTTGGCCACAGGAGTGTTGCGCGTCCTAAATCTTTTTGAGGGGAGCAGACAAAGTCGCATCTTGCAGCATACAAACACAGTGGGGAGAAGATGCTGCCTGCCTGCCTGCATGAGCCTGAGAGGTGTAAAGAGTTTTAGCAAGAAGTGAAGTTAGGATAGAAGACATTGTGTAAAGGCCTTGTGCATAGAAATGAGGTACAAAAAGTCACCGCACATCTCTGCATTTCACAGAATCACAGAATCACAGAATGGCCAGGGTTGGAAGGGATCTCAAGGACCATGAATCTCCAACCCCCCTGCCACATGCAGGGCCACCAACCTCCACATTTAATACTAGACCAGGCTGCCCAGGGCCCCATCCAACCTGGCCTTGAACACCTCCAGGGATGGGGCATCCACAACCTCTCTGGGCAGCCTGTCCCAGCACCTCACCACTCTCTCTGTAAAGAACTTCCCCCTGACATCCAACCTAAATCACCCCTCCCTCAACTTCAAACCATTTCCCCTCGTCCTGCTGTTATCTACCCTTTCAAAGAGTTGATTCCCCTCCCCTCTGTAGGCTCCCTTTAGGTATTGAAATGCTGCAATGAGGTCACCCCGCAGCCTTCTTTTCTCCAGGCTGAACAAGCCCAGCTCCTTCAGCCTGTCCTCATAGGGGAGGTGCTCCAGTCCCCTGATCATCTTCTGGACCCTCTCCAACAGCTCCCTGTCTTTTTTGTACTGGGGGCTCCACGTTTGGATGCAGTATTCCAGATGGGGCCTCACAAGAGCAGAGTAGAGGGGAACAATCACCTCCCTGTCCCTGCTGGCCACCCCTCTTTTGATGGAGCCTAGGATACCATTTGCCTTCAGAGCCGCAAGAGCACACTGCTGGCTCATATTAAGTTTTTCATCTATCAAGACCCCCAGGTCCTTCTCTGCAGGGCTGCTCTCAAGGACCGCTCCTTCCAGTCTGTATGGCTTGGATTCCTCCGGCCCAAGTGCAAAACTCTGCACTTTGCAGTGTTGAACCTCATCAGGTTCACCCGGGCCCACCTTTCTAGCCTCTTGAGGTCCCTCTGAATGGCATCCCTTCCATCAACTGTGTCGACCGCACCACTCAGCTTGGTGTTGTCAGCAAACTTGCTGAGGGTGCACTCGATTCCGTCATCGATGTCATTGATAAAGATGTTAAAGAGCACCAGTCCCAAGACAGATCCCTGGGGGACATAGAGCCATTGATGACCACCCTTTGTCTGCGGCCTTTCAACCAGTTTCTTATCCATCAAGTGGTCCACCCATCAAATCCACATCCCTCCAGTTTGGAGATAAGGATGTGGTGGGGGACCATGTCAAAGGCCTTGCTCAAGTCCAAGTACATGACATCGGTCGCCTTTTCCTTGTCCACCAGTGCCGTCACTCCATCATAAAAGGCCACCAGATTGGTTAAGCTGACCTTCCTCTGGTGAAGCCGTGCTGGCTGTCACGGATCACACGCCCTTTCCTCATGTGACCAAGCATGTCATCCAGGATGATCTGTTCCATCATCTTCCCAGGCACAGAGGTGAGACTCACTGGCCTGTAGTTCCCAGGGTCCTCTTTTCTCCCTTTCTTGTAAATGGGAGTGCCGTGACCCTTCCTCCAGTCATCCGGGACCTCACCTGACAGCCACGACTTCTCAAATATGATGGAGAGCAGCTCGGCAACCACCTCAGCCAGCTCCTTCAGAACCCTGGGATGCACGCCATCCGGCCCCATAGACTTGTACACATTCAATCTCATGAGGCGGTCTCGGACCTGCTCTGTCCTCATAGCGGGGGGGGATTTACCACCCCAGTCCCCACCCAGAGGTGTAGGGATGCAGGGCTCAGGGACGGGAGAAGTACTGGAATCCTGGCCGCCAGTGAAGACCGAGGCAAAGAACTCATTCAGTGCCTCAGCCTTCTCTTCGTCCGTTGAAGCCAGTTCTCCTTTTACATTTACCAAAGGAGGTACACTCGCTTTGGCCTCCTCGCATTTGCAGGAGTCCGTCCGCTAACCGCTAACCAGAAACGTGCTGCTTCCAGATACAACCATTCTAGCTGCTGGAATGGTTAGCACAGCCGGACAGACTGCGCTGATCGCTGTACCAGGGCAGCACCTAGAGGCCAAGGCCCGCTGTTACACGGCGCGCACCATGAACGAGCCCCGCTCCAGCGGCGTGCGCAGAACCAGCGTGCTTTTGCCTTCCTCAGCTAAAGGCCGGATTTATAATAAAGACAGAAAGACCGTTGGGTTCACCTTCGTGCGTTGCCAGCCTTTTAGCGCGAACGCACAGCCCAGCCGCGGCCCCTTCCCGCAAGGAGAAACCAGCCCACCCGCCTCCCCCCGGCTCGTCCCCTCACCCACGCGGGGCACCCAGCCCAGCGCAGCCCGCCGCCCCTCCGCCTGCCCTCCCGCTACCTGCCGAGCCGGCGCCGGGGCTCCCGCTGCAGCGTAGCGAGACCTCGAGGCCGGGCGGGGGGCTGAGCACGGCGCGGCACGGAGCCGCGGGGCCGAACGGGGCAGCCCGGACCGTCCTGCCGCCAGCCGCGCTGCGGAGCCCCGCCGCCGAGGCCGCGGCGACGCCGTTAGCGATGGCGCCGCCATCTTCCCGCCGCGCCATTCAAACGGCAGCCCCGCCCCGCGGCTCCCAGCGGCCGGATCGGCTCCACGACGTGTAAACCGAAGAACAGTACAAAAATACATCGCGTTTCTAAAATGTTTCTTTCTTTAATCAGTCAACAATTAAAGGATGTATCCGTATTGCTACACTGTAGGTCAAAGGCTAATTGCGTCAAAGGGATGAGAGGTGTACTTAAACCCCTGGCTGAGCACTCATTGCTGCAGAAAGCAACTCCCAAGGCAGACCAATTTCCTGCATTTGTATGAAAATACTGAAGAAAATATTTCAGTAAAGTACCAGTCTACATAGTAACAATATATAAACCTATTACACTAGATAAGAAAAAAAAACAAAACGAGCATTGTCATTATTTGAAATGGTCACAGCATAGGCATGTTTCACTGCAATGTGTAGTTTTTCAGTTACAAAACAAGATGCATTACTTCTCTGTCTTTCACTGCACGTGAAGTCATACTTCATGTACCCCTTACGGCTTTAAAAAAAACTACTTAACATTAAAAAGAGCTTTAATTTTCATTTTACTAATGTTTAAGGGGAAATCTTATTTTGCTAACCATTTAAACCATCAAAAAATAGTTTATAAAACTTGAAGACTCATTTTTACCAAAGTGAGATAAAGGGCTAACTAGTAACCAACCGAAGAACTTGGTTCCGTAGGTATGTACACAGCTGGTTCATTAAGTCTCTGTTCTGTCCTTCCACCCAGTGCATTTCTACTAACACATCATCTCCTTCTTTCTTCACATTCATTAAACACTTAAAGAGGAAACATCTACTGGTCTCCTTGGGACTTTGTCCTTTTTCAGCTGTTAAATCGCTAGCTTCCTCTGAAGGCTGAGGTCCCTGCTTTGCACTACTGGAACCTTCATTAAGTGATGCTTCTGCCTGCTTTGCTTCTGTCTCCTCCTCCTCCATATGCTCATTAAGTTCTTTGGTAGCCGATTCTTCCCTCAGCTCATCATCTGCAGTCAAGTGGACATCCTCATCAGGTGCCATAAGCTCAGTTTCAGAATCTTCAGTCTTGGGTTTTTCACAGTCCAAAGTGTTGCTCACATTGTTCTGGCTGTTTTTTCCCTCTTCCACTGCTTGCAGAACATCATCAGAAGCTCGAGGAAGTTCTCGTAATTGCCTTATTCTCTCTCGTTTCTTTCTCCTCAGATGAACCCAGGAGTTTTCAATGGCAGTCACAAACAGGCTAACTTCATCTTTCCCACAAGGAACACGCTTATGCTGAACCTATTGAAGAAGACAGAAGAACTTCAAATTATTCATTCACACACTTTAAAGTAGGATATTGTAACATCTAACACTTAATATTTTACCTTTAAATCAGCAAGAATCTTCTCTATCCAGGCTCTAACAACAGCAATGCCTTCTACAGCATCCCAGCCCATTGCTGCAGCTTTGATGGATAATTCTTTGACTGTAGAAGCCAAGACTGTAAATGTAATTGGTTTTCGAGGTTTTTCTAGTTTTCTTCTCTTAGAGGGAGGTGACTAAAAGAAGAAACAAAAGCAACATAACACCAAAAAAATACAACGCTATACAGTATTAGTGGGATGACTTTTGTACTCACAATACCTATGGATTAACAGTTACTGACATAACCGGTGTTTCACTTTACTCCAAAGAGTTATCAAACAGAAACATCTGACATGTACTTTGTGCTAGTCTGATAAACAGAGCGACTTTATCTCCATATGTCAGCCAAAAACCTTAACCAGTTCTTTCAAACTGTTAGCTCTTTGTGAGCTGACAATACACGGCTGCTCTTGAGAATACAGATCAGGTGCTAATATCCACACTGTGATTCAAGTTCATCGAAGATTTACTTGTAAAATCCTCTCTCTAAGTTTGGTTATTGCCTGTACTTATCTTACAGTACGTGTACACGCGGATCAAAAAAGCAACAGTCTCATCTTAAGGTGAACAAGCTCTATTTATAATCATGTTTGGATTTTTTTAACCATGCCCTGGTTGAGTTCATGATCTCAAGAAACACAGGCCTGGCAAAGAATGGAGTCAGGACCTTAAACTTCAGGAGAGCGAACTTCAGGCCGTTTAAGGAATTGTTGGATGAGATCTCCTGGGAAGAAGTCCTTAGAGACAAAGGAGTGGAACAAAGCTGGCTACTCTTGAAAGATGCCTTTCTGAGAGTGCAAGAGCTCTCCATCCCTCAGAATAAGCAGGCAGAGAACCAGGAAACCAGCGTGGCTCGGCAAGAACCTACTGGTCAAACTGAAAGAGAAGAAGGACAAGTACTGGTAGTGGAAGCAACAATGTGTCACCTGGGAAGAATACAGGGATGCTGTCCGGACTTGCAGAGATGGGATTAGGAAAGCCAAGGCACAGCTGGAACTGAACTTGGCAATGGACATTCAAGTCAACAAGATGGGATTCCACAGGTACATTGGCCAAAAGAGACAGGCCAAAGAGAGCACACCTCCTCTGCTAAATGATAAAGAAGGACTACAACAGAAGTGAATGGGGAAGGCTGAGGTACTCAATGAGTTATTTAACTCAGTCTTCGTTGGCAGCCAGGATTCTCACATCCCTGAACCTGAACCTCCAGGTAAGGAACTAGGGGAGTAAACTCTCCCAGGGCAGAGCAAGTCCAAGACCAATTCACGAGACTAAAT